TATTGAAAAAGTTTAGTCTTAATTCCTAAACTTATTTAACTTATTATGAATAAAGTAAATAGAACCGATTGAGTCAATGTGTTTGTTGCTACAATTGTGTTGGGACTTCTCTATTGATATTTGATTTCGGTATTGAAACAATAAGTTAAAAATGCTTTATTTTATATTTGGACCCAAGGGACAAATAGAATATCCAATCAACAAAAAATTCTGAGGATTAGTGTATTTTGGTTTGTATCAATTTTGTAGATTGAGGAAAGATTGTATTTTCATGGGTACTTGATTTTGTGTTTTTTTGCCGAAGTTTGTTATATTGTACAAGCCTATAGAAAATGTGTACAATGTACTTAGTTGAACATTTAAGTTTGTGGTTTACCTATACCCACAAAATACATAAAAAGTGTATCGTACAATTATAATGAATCCACACTACTTTAATCACTTATTACCTATATTTACTTGACCAATTTTGACCAATTACTAATTTAGAGCAAACAAATTGCAATTTCAATAATTCCTATGGAATTAAAAATGAAAGACAGTCTATAATGTACATAAGCAGGAACATATATATTGACGGGACTTGACACTACCTGATTGTAGTCGATTTTATCGTCGTGCCATAGTTAATAAAGATACGATACAGAAACGGACATGTGTTAAAAACGGACTCGCTATTATCCTAATAATTTCTGATATTATCAATAAAATGTCATTCAAACTAGTTTTACAGTAATGCTAGTGTATCAAACTTGTATTCTGTCACTTCAAATTTGTTAAAATCGAAAGCATTTCATCACAGAATTGTGCAGAATGCAAACCAGGTAATAAAAAAATGGCGGCCATTGCCGCGATGATTTACAAATTCCCAAACTATTGTAAAACACTTCACATCAAATAAATCAAACTTATTTTGGTAATTTTATATAACAAAATATATCTACTAAATGATAAAACTTGTATTTATTTACAAGTAGAGTTATGTGGTTTATTAGTTGAGCAGTTCTGATAGTTTTTCAGTCAGACGCTACCAAAATCCGTAAATCTCGGGAAGTCTCGGGGAGTCCGAGATTTTATCAATTTTATACTGAAAAGCGTATCAGATTCATTTCCCGTTAGATATACTGTTCCCAGACATAAGTAACAATAAATAAAGATCAGTTAACTATATAGCTTTATTTCTCAACAAATCAGATTACATTGGTATAGAGATTCACACAATATATATTACATGTACATAAAGCATATGTACAGACATACATGTACAAAAGACATATAAAAGTAAGATCAAGCCAATTACGTTTGTAACAGTTGTTGTTAACATGAAACAGGTACAGTACATTGTTTACCCAGGAGAGTCTACATGATTATTATAAATCAATCTTATCAATTTGCACAAGTTGTTTCGATCAGATAGGTTTTTGCAGTTTATCAGTATTAATTTGTTTGGGTTTCCAATTTTATATTTACTAAATAATAACTGTTAATGGTCATCTCAGCATTAAATACAGAACATGTGAAAATATAATGAAATTCATCCAAGATGTCTCTAGAGTTACAAAGTAAACATTTTCCATTTTCGCTTGCAATATTTTGGTATCTATAAGTCTCAATATGGAATTTATGATTTCCTGTTTTAAACCTAAACAAAATAATAATTTTTTGATTTCTTAAATCTTAAAATATTATTCAAATTCGCTGTTTTCTTTATACATAGGATAGCTGATGAGGGTCTGGATGGGGTTTACAGAATAGAGAATAATGGCCAAACAAAATAATGGGTAGAGAAAAATGAGCAAAATAATTAAAGAAAAGAAAAATTCAGAATGATAGAGTGCGAAAGTATAAAGAATAACAACATAAAATAAAACAATTGTGTAAAGAAATATTGATTACATAAATGAGCGATGTGCAGAATAAAGAAATCATATAATTACAGAAAAAGTAATTGCAAAATCATTTTCATAAGAATTTTACAGATTAAGAGTTATTTTTAGAAATGAAGAAAAATACCCTGAATTTAAAGAATATAGAAATTAAGACCCCTCATAGCTCATTGCTTTTGGTGATTATTGTACTGTCTGTTTAAACTGGTCAACTAGATTTGATTTAACCAATCATAGTTTAAAGCCATGTTACAAGGCCCATGTATAACTTATAAAATGTTGGGTTATCCCACACAAACATGTCAAATGCAGTGTTCTCCCCAGGATTTTTAGATAGCACCAGGGTAATTAAGGCAAATTAGATACATGTGTTGAACATAATTTGGATCGCGTCGCAACACATTTCCTCTAAAAGACTATCCTCCTTAGGGTTAGCTCCCATAGAGTTAATCCTTCTTTCTTATTACCTTTTATCTGTTTTGATTGATTGATTGATTTTTGGTGTTTTAGCGCCACTTTTAAGCACCGGTTTTGGGCTATTTCGTGGCGACCAGTTTTTATTGGTGGAGGAAGCCGGAGAAAACCACCTACCTTTGATAGGAAAACTGACAATCCTAGTCAATTAAGATTGGAGTCTAGTGCACCCGCATGAGCGGTGTTCGAACTCACAACCTCAGTGTTGAATAGCTAGTGATTACAGTATTAACTACTTACACCACTCGGCCACCGAGGCCCCCTTTATCTCTTTTAAGGTTTTCTTTTCTTTTGTACTGTTTTGAAGGTTTATGCAGTAACTTAACTAAATAGTAAGAATTTCTACTGAAGGGATGAAGCCTTCAATATGTATGTTACCAGCACCAGGTCCTTCCATGAAATAGTTACATTTTCATATTCTCTTTTTATTAAGACAGTACAGTAGTGATGGAGAATGTGTGTCCAAATTAAGATTTCTGATTAGATCTAAAGTGTTACTTGGCCTGTCTCGCTGGGCTCTACGGTTACCACTGGTCAGCGCTTGGGTGGTAAGTGAAGCCATAAAATTGTTGTCAGAAGTCATTAATTATCTCCATATCAATTAAAACACAAAACTCGATTAAACCCAATCAACAAGGTTAACCTCATAAGGTAAATCGATCACGTGGTGTAAACAATCAACATACTGGTTAATTTTCAACAGGAATTTTATACCGCACGGAAAAGATTTAACAAGTTTAAAATTTTACTGATTTTTTAAATGAAAATTATACCACTGCGCTAAGACCGATAGAACCATGCTAAAAAATTATACCACCGCAGACCCACGGGCCTGGGGAGAACACTGAAATTGCAAACCATAATCATCAAGTATGGATTTTACATTTTCTATATTTACACAATAGATACTTATATGAAATTTCAGGAAGTTTTTCTTGTTTTCCAGTTAACAATTTTGTCCAGTAATTTATCATACAGAGTTTCATATCAATTATCCAATAATATCTGCCCAAATTACTTAAATATCTGATTTGGTATACAGACGTTTCTTTTTGTAAAAAAAAATGTTTATTTTGCAACTTTCAGTAAATAAAAATTTGTGACCAAACAACACTGATAATAAACTCATCTGGTCGTTTAAGGTTTATGACCCCTTCTGTAGCCTTGTATTACAAAATTTTTTAAGTGCAATAATAACAAAACAATAAAAATAATGAATATTTAGAGTGCAATTTTGTACATACATGTATACCAAAGGGAAACTTTGTTCAAAGCAATATTATTTATTGTTTTATTGCATTTGATAGAAAATGGGGACTTTGTGGCAATTAAGCCAAGATTTTTGCTGAAAATCCACAGACTTAAATACAGAGATTTTCGTTGTAAAATTTTATAGATTATTCACGTTTGTCCATGATGTTACATCAACTTACAACTCCCGTTATTGCCATGTGTCGCATTTGGCGCGAATGGTTCCATTTCGCGTTTCTGTAACTTTTTAGTTTTTACGAGGATAGGTTGTTGGCCTATCGCTCAATCCCCATTTTGAGAGCCAGAGAATCTTTACTCAAGGTTTCTTTCCTTTAGATCAGTTGCCGACCAAGGCTGACGAGTCAAATCTACCAGGAATTTTATATCAGAGTTATCTTCTCCTAGATGAATTGCCTTCCAAGGCTGACGACCTTCATCCAGCCGGCTATTAACCCATAACTCGGGCAAGGTTGATGAGTGCTAGGGCATGTCCACACGTCGATGGGCCTACACACTTCATCTCTAGGGTCCTTGCTACTCCGAGATCCTCTACAGTTAAGCCTAGGACACTAGATCCTAGTTACCATGTGCTGTAGTGAGAAGGCACTATAGAAGTCTTGTTAGTGCAGAGGCTATGTACTGGCAGGAAAGACTTACGCACTCAGCTTTCTTTTCACTTATGTATATAAGCTATCCAGCGGCAGTGTAAGAGTCTATGACTCCCAACCGCACTAGACGCATACACAAACCTGCGGTAACACCACAAGCACATTTGTCCATGATGTGCTAGCGTTTATTGTTTACAAAAAGTCCAAAACAACCTTTACATTCCAAAAAGCCTCGTGCTGAGTCACTAAAGTGGAGCACACCCTAGAAGGTGTGCTTGAATTGGTCCATATTTATATTTGTTTTAACCAATATCTTAATTTATAATTATAAACTTGTTTTAAGGAAACCATTGCTAGCACTGCATGCAATAATCCTCTATCTATCGAGCACCAAATTGTCAAATATAAGAGTACAAGGGGAAAGGCTGTGGATTTTCTATAAAATTTCCATATGTTTAGCATTGAAACAACAAAAGGGTACATAATCCTTAATATTTTTTTTATGAATTCTATATTAAATTTAAGTTATTTTTAATTCACAAAATTAAATATCAAAACATTACAACACTCTGTTAGATATTTACATTACTTCTCTTTACTATCACAAAGATATAATGGGGAGAAATATGAAGAATAACTGTAATATGCAGTTGTTTAATGATAATAAAATCTGGGAGAAGTTCTACAGATTGGCAAGATTGTTTGTATAATGCAAAAGAAAGCTAATAAATACTCTCACACCCTGGCCTTTTTCCAATGATGATCTAATATGCTATATTATTAGAAATCATAAGAATACCACAGAAACTGGAAGACATTATACACCTTACAATACATGAAATATATCTGGTTTTCTAAGGAAATGTGATATTGCATCTTATAAATATTTCAAGGAAATGGATATTCATATTATTGGAAAAATTTGAAACGGTGTTCAAAACATTAAGATGAAACTTGTGTAATGTCAAGGAAAGAGTGAACACATATAGCCAGAAGATTGACTGTCATAAATAGAATCTAAACTTTGGAAAATTATTAAATTATAAAATTCAATTATGAGAACTGATTTGATTATCCGCAAAACTATTACAAAAATGATGTGCTAGTTTGATTCTAGAAAAGACTAATTCATTTCAATTTAACTAACTGGCAAAAATATAGCAATGGGTGTAAAAGGGATTCATGAAAGAAGTGGTTCTACAGAAATATGGTGTATTTTCAGAGCTCCAGATGTAAAGAGAACTTGTAAATGTCAGACTGGGCCAAACAGCGACCCTGACACAGAAGACTTTGGTTGTCAGGTAGAGTTTGAAGATATGGATGAAAGTTTCCAATTGGCAGATACTAGTTTTTGTTCCATGAAAAGTACAGGTAAATTAAGACTTCCTAGAAAAACTTGAAACATTTTTACTCCTATATAAAGTAGGCTTTGTTGAATTGCTTTCTTTCAATGAGAAAGGGCTGTATCTGGATTGGAAATTGAATAGCAATTTCTTATATGTTAGATTATACAGCCAAATTGTAATCCTTACTTACAAAGAATTATCAAATCATCTACCTAGCACTCATTTCTAGATTTACTTCTTAGGATAAAAAGAAGAAATATAGCTCTTCTCTTGTTATTGAAAATGCTTCTAGTTTCCTTCAGGCATTGCATCCACACATTTCAGGCACATTATCTTGTTTTAGTATATATATATGTACAAAGGCTAACCTAAATATCACATGGAATGTCAGATTGAAGTGAAAACATATATTCACAAGTCTGTCTATTTACCAATTATCGATTTGATTCTGTTATTAGAATTTAAACACTTTAAACACAAGTGGCTTACGTTTGCCAATTGTAGGCTGGTTCTCTACCTGATAAAAAAGGCTGCAGTATATGCAAAGCATGATAAGTAAAAGTGATATATATATATAGGTGGTTCAGTTTCTCTCAACTAATGAGCTTTGAATGTCACTTTGGTACATTTTTGTATCTTCTGCCTCATTTTTTAAACCAATTTTTGACACAAAAAAATAACTATTGATGTTAAATTTTTTTTGATAACTTTATGAAAGATTAAATGTAAAATTTTAATTAACAGTTTTGAAAAAAAATTAACACATTATGTACAGATTAATTTATTCTTTCTAAAAGCTCTTCATTGTCAATGAAAAATTATGTTCCTCCTAAGGGAAACAACTCACAAAATGGATATTTAATTACAGGGTCAATTACAGAAAAGGCAAATAAACTATTGTGAAATAATTTGTTGTTCACATTCACTTAAGGACATATTTGTTGCCTCTAATCTGGTTTTTAGTTTGATTGTTTTACAATTGTCATTACCAGGCATTTTATAGCTTACTATGAGGTATTGGTTTTGCTCATTGGTGAATGCCATATGTTGACTTATAGTTGTTAACTTCTTTGTCATTTGGTCTGTGGTGGAGAGTTGTCTCATTGGCAATCATACCATATCTTCTTATATTTACATTTAAACCTAACCATAAACCATTTAAAAACTGAAATGTAAACTAAATCTAGTTCGACAGCGACAAATATGCCCTAACATTGAATTTTTAAATCTTTGAACTAAAGCAAAAACGAATGTATCGGAATGCTCTTTACATTTAATTTACTGTGAAGCTTCCATTATAATTGATCCTTTGATTTTGCTAAAAGACTCTTAGGGCAAAAATGTGTTACAAACAGTAGGTATATGGTGTCAGACCTAGGTCTCAGATTATCACATACTGGTTCATATATTGATATGAATGATTAGAAAATTTTGAGGTAGTCATCTTATTTTAGGGAAAAAATTCAAACACTTACTACTTCTTAATGGCCAACAGCCAAGTATACATATGATGGAACAGTTAGAAAAGGTTTTCACATCAATAGAATTGATAAAAAAAAGTTATTGATAATATAAGAAACAGTTAAATTATGTTTTTAAATAACTAATATTGAAACAAAATGGTTGGTGTCAAAATATTATGTATTTACATGGGCCTTGGCACATCTTACTGAAATTGAAACTGTTATGTTACCGTTGGATGCTATTAGTCATGCCTTTTCCAAAGTTAAATATTACATAACTTCACGTCTTATGTAATTGCATTATATATAAACATGTGGAAATTAGATTTTTGCAGAAATGGCAAAAACAAATGATGATTTAATCAAATAATTCATGAACATTCATTTACATGTAACTTTCTGTCTGCATGTAAAAACTATAAGAAACAATTTTATGTGTAACCGGTATTTTTAATCATGCATTATTGTTTAGGCATCATTTTTTATGATCTTTATACACTACAGATGTAGGATGTGCTAATCTTTTTCAATGACCAAAAGTGGTAAACTTGGACAATAAATTGGTTATTGATACAAGATAATCAAACAAAAATTGTATTGTGTCAATATCTGATATCTTAAGTGGTGATCTACATTGGACTTAATAGAGTGTTTTTTTTAGTTGATCCTCTTTGCTTCAGGCAATATAGTTATCCTTTCACAAATTTGTAAGAAGGTCAGACTAATTGATTGGTTTATTTTGATGACATTTCTATTAGAAGTTACATTTTGCAGTGGGTTTTTTTTTCTGCACTGGTATTTTGGGAGGAAATGCATGAAATAATTTGTTTATATAACCAGACATTTATAACAGTAGTATCAAGTGTTAAGTGTATTTCTGTGATTCACACATGTTGAAAAGTGTCTAAAAACACATGTAAGTTTTTCTTTTTCACTTATTTAAATATAATTTATACTTATACTAAAGAAATTCAGTGTTTCAGAAGTGTCTATAATAATGATTTACATTTGCTTCATTAAGAGAATAATTTTGATATGTTATTGGCTAAAGGAGTATCAAAAATAAACCTTATTGAAAATGCCATGCTCATAATTGTGTACGCCTGACACACGTTTTGTCTACAAAAGACTCAATACAATTCTTGCTCTAGCAGTAATCTGCTTGTTAAATATATATGACCAGCATATTTTTTTAAAAGTATAGTTAACAATCCTTTGATATAAAGATCATGAAATTATTTTTTCTCATCTATTTATCAAGCACCATATATCATCTATTCTAAATCCAGTTAATCCTTTGGCCTCAAGGTAGGGATGAATGTAAAAAATCTTCCAATTGCATTAACTTGTCTTGCCAAATGTATGAGTAATGGTAAAAAGTGTACACATAAAAACATGTTTCAAAATAAGGATTAAAATATAAAATACTGTTTAGAAATTTCCCAATGTGGGATTTTAATCTGGTTTAATTAGGAAAAATTCCAAAGGACATGTATAGTCATCTGTTGAATGTTACAATAGAAATTAGCAAAATTAGGTCAGTCAATAACTATTAAGTCAAAGGTTTCATCTGTTAATAATACACAGTCATGCCTTATAATATGTAGTAGTATGATGATGTACGACAACACAGGAACAATCCATATATTCTTCCTGCTTATTGGGATTTGAGAATTAACATAACTTCTGCATCAAAACATCTATTTTGACCGAATATTTGTGGGATATAAATAATTTTTCCTGTCTGTGATGATGGTTGAAGTGTTATAAAAATCGGGACTTGGCAAATATACAGTATACAGTAATAGGATGGATCTTTCAGATGAAGACAGTTTGAGCGATCTTATTTGTAAGTTGTTGATGGGATATCTGTCATTCAAGTATATCTAATGAGTACTAAGTAATTATTTTATAATGAGATACTGGGAGCTGTCTTGTTATCATTTATCATCTGTCTTCTCATCATTTTTTGTAAAGATGAAAGTAAAGAAAAGGAATAAGTAGAAGATAAGTTATACTTCAGTATACTTTTCATACTGTGCTGCAAAAAAAGCTTAAACTAAGGCAATGAGAAAAACTAATCCAATATCTCTTTAGAGTTGCTAGTTCTAGGACCTTTCCTTTTCATTGGTAGCATTACTTTGCTTGAGAGTAGATTTTGTAGTGTTATTAAAACATCTGCATCGCTAGTAAAGTGAATTTCATGAAAAAAATTTAAAACAGAATTTTGAATTGAATGTAAATACCCTATTTGTTTTTTCTGTTATGACATATTAATGATTTTATTGATTTGAAGGTTAAGTTGAATAGTATACCCTTTAGAACATAAAAACATTGAAGATGTCACTTGAACTGTTTTTGTGGAAAAACATAAAATTTATGTAAGATTTGAAGTATTTTATGAGCAATATTATTGAGAGCAATTGTTTTATTTATTAAATACTTCACATACATATTCTAACCAGGAAATTTGTTTACATAACACAATAGGTATTAAAATCTAATATTGATTTAAACTTATGTTTACAAGATTCCTCTTTTCATTCTGGTTTACATTATCCATTAAAAATTTATGGAAGTTATTAAAGGGGAGATGTAAAAAGCTGGGAAAGTCTGTCAATCTACCAGTATATATAACACATTTCTAAAATCATAACATTCTGAGCCTTGTGTTTATACTAAGGTAGGTATCCTTTAAAATTATAATACAATATATAAAACAGTTATTACAAGTATTATCATAATATAAATTGGAGTAAAGATATTTCAAATGACAGATGTTCAGTCACAAATGTAAAATTTTTAACCTTGAAAGAAAGTCATTATAGAATAAGACAGTGTTATATATTGGGAAGTTTTTTGTTCTTTAAAATATTGGCATTTCAAATTGTGTCTTCTTTTAACAAAAGACAAACGCTATTTAAATTTGCCAGCTTTTTGAAACTTTAAACAAACAATAAATGAATTCAGTATTAATATTTGCTTTTCCATATTGAATTTGCATGAAAATTGATTACACGGCATTTAAAATCCATTCATATGTACATCTTAACACACGTCACATTCCTAACTAACTTACACAACTGTTTACAACATGAGTAATCTCAGTTTTTCTAATCCACTTGAATGACAGAGATTTAGTTTATCATGCATTTCTAATGGTGATTTCAACTTTAGTCTGTGGAACAAAAAATTAGAATAAACAGATCAATGGAACAAATGTTTGGAATTTACATGTGTAAACATTGATATAGATAAAATGTAAGATAAACTGTGACACAAAGTAGATATTAAATTAAAGTGGAATTTAAATCCATAAAAAATAAAAATGTCATGCTATACTTGTTGATAAAGATTGAAATTCAAGGGAATATTATTTCTGCCACTACAGTAAGTCTGTATATATTGTTATACATGTGTATAATGTATATATATATTGATAAAATTTTGTAAAATGTCAAGTGAAATGAATAAAAATTTAAATCCATTTTCGGTGCTATATATGTCCAGGACTAGGAGTGTAGTGTTTATATTTCATGACTTGGAAATTTGCTTCTCACCTCATTAACTTTGTACTGCATCACACATTCAGCTTTTGAATTAAATTGTTTTTCGGCACATCTTTGAAGAAATCCATAAATTTACTTGGAATATATTTATTTATTTTCATCATAGACCCACTGAAATTTGTACTATATTTGGGATTTACAAATCTAGAAAAGATGGTCCAAGAAGTTCTTTCGAAATAAGTCCAATCATGGCATCAGTAATATTTTGAAAACCAGCAATTACCTTTAAAAATCTTTGTCTTCACCTTAGCTCCTGACTTACTGTATAAAAAGTGTGTATGGGAATAGGTATAACAATGTGAAGTAGAAGTAGTTATAAATCTTGAACAGCAATAACTGCTACAGCAAAAATGTACTTATGATATGAAATTACACATAGGAAGTGAAATAGACAATATCAGATGAAAAAAAATTCAAACTAGGACATTTTTACTGATTCCTAATCCGATATGTTTTATATGATTTTTGATTATTTTATCCAGTTTATATCAATGACCTTATTCTTGCATTTTAAACTGATTGTTAAATTTATATCACAGAAATTAGCCATACAATAATAAAGATGTCATGTTGTCATTTTTAATTGCCAGTTAGTGTATAATGAATATATGATATTGAGGTTTATGTTTATTTTTCAGCCAATATGGACCAGGGAGAACTTGCCGAACAGCTGGCTTTGGTAAGCTTATATTGAGATCATTTTTAATATCTTAAAAAATCCCCATGTAAAACTTTGGGTAGATTATTTATAACAGTGTTTCTTCTCAGTTTTATTAAGTCCTTTCCATGGTTTATCCATATATCATTCAGCTAAATGTTGATAACTGCTCTCTGACCAATACAATTTTGAAGTTTTTATTTACTATTGAAGGTCAATATATATTTGTTTAGGGCAAGTAATTGATAGCTTTGAAATGTGCCACTTTTAAGAAAGTTTATACTTTCCTTGTCATCTAAATGAATTTAAAATTTGGGCTGACTCTGGAAATTGAGGGTATCTTTGATAGAAGCATTAGGTCACCTTATTACCTCCTAAAAGAGTTGCAAGGTTTGGTTTGTGCAGAGAGAGTACTGCTTGCCCAAACTTTCTACCTACTTCAACAGGATATGGCTCATTAATTATTCATTCCACACAAGTTCAAGAAAAATGATCTCTCAGCTTTCAAAAAGTTTCTGTTGGACATGGTTTATGGTAATTTTTTCTTGACCACAACAGGAACTTGATTTCCTATCTTATCTGGGAACTGATATTAAAGTGTTACATGTCTTTATGTTTAGTGACAATAAAGACATTAATAATGTATATTAATGTGGGAAATTGTGTTTGACAAGAACAAGCTTGTTTTTTAAGGTTGTAACATGGGAAAGACTTTTTCTTCAATTTATAATTGAGGTTGTAAAATGGATTTCAGCCTACATTGTAATTAATATAATAATATCCTTAATCAATTAAAATCTTCAGCAAAAACATGACAGTAACACATACATTTCATTAGTTTACAAGCTCAGCTAGATCTAGCTTGTTTTACAGTTTTTCTGCCAAAGGTTGGTGGTTATCTCTAGGAAATCTGGCTTTCTTCACCAATAAAAACTGACTGCAACAATATAACCAATAGTGCTGAAAGTGGTGTTAAACATCTACAACAAATAAATGAATCAGATCTAGCTTTTTAAAAGGGAGAGTAAAGTGGTTTGTAAAATAATTTTGAGAGCTCAACCTTCCTCCATTATTAAGACAGCAGCAGCAAAATAAAAAAAAAATTACCTGTAGTAGAGGATTAGTACACTGTAGGAGGCATAGATTGATAGTGGATTTTATTGGTCTTCCATGTGCCAGTAACACCCTCATCAGCTCATGGTAAAATCCTATATATCACAGCTATAATCACATCATATGTATTTGATCAGTCTTGATAACCAACAACATAATACTTGACCCGAACTTATCATCAAGTCTACTTCCAGTTAGATAGTAAAAGAAAGAACAACTATTGTTTGATCATGAAAACCATTCAAATGCACAAAAAAATATGATAAATCGATTGACAGGTTTTCCTTACAGCTGCTGTGAGTCACAATTATGAAAGTTTTTTTTTTAATCTTTTTTGCTGTGGTAACAGTAACCTCCCCAAAAAAAACTTCATCAGTGGCGGATCAAGAACTATTCATAAGGGGGGCCCGCTGACTGACCTAAGGGGGGGCCGCGCTCCAGTCATGCTTCAGTGATTCCCTATATAATCAACCAAATTTTTCCCACAAAAGGGGGGGCCTGGGCCCCCCAGGGCCCCCCCTGAATCCGCATATGTTCATATTGTGACTTTCAGAGATAAGTATGAAAACACCTTATAAGCTATAATTATTTGATGGTCTACAAACTGTTGTTTCATACTTTGCAGCAATAATGACTTCTATAATAAGAAACGGTTATTTAGCTTCACAGTAGGTGCAAGTAAACCAATGTTCACACCAAAACAGTTATAATGAAAAACCTGATTTGTCTTTAGAGTTTGGACTGTGATAAAATAGTTGACAATGTGAAATTATTCAAATACAATGCAGGTCAAACATGCTTGTTTTGTTTGAATATGCAGCTGTTACATGTAGTTCATGAAATTGTGGGGGTGGCATAGTGTATTAATGAAGAAAATGAAATAATACTTTAATCAATAACATACATTATTAAAGATTTTTGAGATTTACATATTTGACAATTGTCGGCAGGGTTGAGTCATACAGAAAATGGCAGGTAAACTCATATTTGCAATTTATCATTTATTTTGTTGATATGGTTTTCCGTTGGCTAATGAAAAAATGTTTCAAAAGTACTTTTACTCATTCTGTGGTTTTGCTGAAGATTTCTGTGGTTAGCATTACCATCAAAATCAACATAAATCAATCAGTATCAATTTAATACTGATTCCACCTGGAGCGAAATGTTTTTTTCTTCTTTTTATGATCAGTTAACATATGTTTATGTTTAGTGACAAATTAATAAAATTAGGACTAGGCTTTGACTATTTTGTTGTAGGAATTTATTCCTTACTAATCCATAATTTAAGCCTTGTTGGTACATGTATTGAATAAGGGTGCTATTATTAAAAAATAATTAGGTTGGGGCTAATTTAATTTAAAAACTAGTTGCATGATTTTGAAGAAAATGTGATTTGGCTTGAAAGGTACCAAAACATATCCGACTTTGAAATTTTCCTGAATCAGCACCATTCAAAACTTAACTTAAAATATAATTCTATGTGCATCAGAAGATTAAAAAAATAAATTGCGGAATAAAGTTTAAGGTTGAAAATTAAAAAAATAATTATTGAGTTCAAAGGGAAAACATGACCACGAGTCCTCCTCCCGTAAAAAAGAAGCTTTGTCATTTAACATTAAATAACTTTCTGTACAGATCACCCCTGTCTATTACAACTAAGAGTATTATGTTGAACTGTGGTTCATTAGTTTGAAAAAAAGGGAAGAGATAGGGATATACCTGAGACTGGATATACTGGTTTGTGGTAGAATAAGTCAGTTATCAAATGTTGATTTCTTTTTAGTACTCCAGGAAAACTACCAATTTTCTTTAATTCTCTGAGAAAATTTGGGGAATTAAAATGTTTTGATGTATAACATAAGTGAAACAGCAACCCAAAAACACAATAAAACCCTAAAAAAACCTAGAGGTTGTTATATGGTATATAAGGATTTTTTTTAGGTTCAATGTTTAATATTTTTTTCATGTATAGTTGAAAAAATTGAAAAAATTGATTGGTCAGAATCAGTAAAAGATTATAAAAAAAAAGAAATGGAAATTATTCAACTGTCAGTCAAATGAAATAGGAATGATACAAACATTAGATTGTAAATACTAGTAAAATATTTGACTGATTTAAGATTAGGTCATGTATATTATAATACATTTCATAATCTCCCAATAATAAAGGGGCTATTAAAGTTAATCAACGAGTAATAAGAGAACATAACTTGTACAATAGTCACACTCTGGTATTATACTTTTCTTCCTAATTCGGCTTTATAACCTTGATAAGTCCAGTATTTAATCATATTAGTCACGCTGCATAGTTATTTTAATACCCAACACAACAATTATGAAATTATCTGTCACTTTGTCTGTAGGCATTGGAAAATTGTTTCCATTATAAGTTTTGGTCATCTAGTGCAAGGCTGTCTTTATTCAATTTAAGACAGATTTGGTAATTCTTTGAAGTAATATAATGTTTCTCCCTGAAAACGTTCAATAGTCTACTAATTTGAAGTCTATACATGAACAAATGTAAAGACATTACACTCCTGTTACTTGCCACTAAAAGAAACACTGTACCCCTGGTAATTTTATAAAACTTCTTCATAGTTTTGCTTTTGATTATATAAGCTCAAGGTCATGAAAAATGACATTTCTTTACAAAATATATAAGTGATCAATTGAAGCACTATAAGAAATTGTAAACACAATACATATATATATGTTTAAAAGTCTTTAAATTTTTCCTGTTTGTGTAGCATTGTCTACCCTAGACAAATCCGATCGGCGATGCCTTTGCTGGTTAGTTGTTTTTATGGACTTGAATGTTAAATCTTTTTGCACTTTTTCATTCTAAATATGGAAGTATTTTTTGTATTTTTTATTGCATTAGATACTTATGTCTACCATGTCCGACGTTAACTTAATTGACATTTCAGCTCTTAAACTGATGGGTTTATATGTGATACTTACAGAAAAAAAACAAGAGTGTATAATAAAATAGAGGCTTTTGTTGCTTGGTTTGATTATGAAATATATTTTCCTTATAATACCAGGATTACAATTTAAAAAATATTAGAGCACTGCTACAGAGTTATTGACTTGTACTAAACCATGTTTATGAAAAATACACCAAGTTACTAGACTATTAATTCAGCTGTACATATATTGATTAATGTTATCATAAATTATACTAAATCTTCTTTTTAAAGTAAGGAGTTTGATTTTTTTAGTTCAATAGACCTGAAGCAATTTAACCAAGTAAGACCAGCTAATTTAACCACATAACCCCATCTAATTTAAATGAAAATTTGACATGGTGCTTAGGGAGGCCTAGACTATTATACTTGAGATATATCATAAGTAGTCATCTATCACCCAATACATGAGTAGTTTGGTAATGTCACTAATTGGGAAGAAATTAAAATTCTGACACTGTTGTCCTCTTTAATGTAGGAAAGTAAATGTGACCTTATTACAAAATTTTAATTTACATGCTAGAAGTTTAAGACCTTGAAATTTATGTTCTATTGATTGTAAAGTTTATACATTTGTACCTCATGTGATTAAAACTTTATTATAGGAATAAAAAGAGAACTAAGTGGTATCAATGTATGTCAGTGGGAGAGCAACCCAACAAAAATACCATGAAAAAAAAGATAGGTCAACATATTGATCTTACATGATTTACAACCGTTCATTCAAAATTTGATTTTTTATATGACCTCAAAAAAATTTTGCGGTCGTGTATTGGTATGATGTTGGCGTCGTCGTCCGGTGTCGTCGTCATCCGAAGACACATTGGTTTTTCGCACTCTAACTTTAGTTTAAGTGAGTAGATCTCTATGAAATTTTAAGATAAGGTTCAATACCACAAAAGAAAGGTTGGGATTGATTTTGGGGGTTATGGTACCAACAGTTAAGGAATTAGGGGCCAAAAAGGGGCCAAAAATAAGCATTTTTGTAACTTCCAGACATAACTTGTGTGTTAGTGTATGGATCTCTCTGACATTGTACCACAAGGTTCAATATCACAAAGGGAATGCTGGGATTGATTTTGGGGGTAATTGCCTCAAAATTTTAGGAAATAGGGGCCAAAAAAGGGGCAAAAAACAAGCATTTTTCTAGTTTCATGACAATAACTTGTGTTTAAGTATATGGATCTTTCTGAAATTGTACTACAAGGTTCCATATCACAAAGGGAAAGCTGGGTTTGAGTTTTGGGGTAATTGCCCTAAACGTTTAGGAATTTGGGGCCAAAAAGGGGTCTAAAAACAAGCATTTTTCTAGTTTCCAGACAATAACTTGTGTAAGGATCTCTTTGAAATTGTACTGCAAGGTACCATAACACAAAGGGAAGGCTGGGATTGATTTTGGGGGTGATGAATCATAAGGGGGTTCAAAACATTTGGGGGAGGGATTTTTTTTTTTTCCTTTTTTTTTCTTTAAAATTTTCCATTTTAAATTGGTTATTTCTGATTTATATATATATAAGCAAATAATTTAATTTTGGATGTAACATGTCTTCCGATTGGCTGACGTTGTTTTGTTTATCAGATCATAGACATAATTTTGTCATGTGACCTTGACGTCATCAACGTTTTTTCATGATTTACACCGGTTTAAAATGGAATTAGGAAATAAATTATAAGAAATGACTAATATTTTATCTGTCTATTCGAAATAACACATAAAAAATGTGGTGCACACTTTAAAATAACCCGCTACGCGGGTTATTCAGTGTGCACCACATTTTTGATGTTATTTCTTCATAGACAGAAAAAATATTACAGTCATTCCTTAAATAATAATGAAATGGTTTGAATAGGTAAATTAAAATTTTTTAAGTTCTTAGACCACATTCATTCTGTGTCAGAAACCTATGCTGTGTCAAATACCTAATCACAATCCAAATTCAGTGCTGTATCAAGCTTGAATGTTGTGTCCATACTTGCCCCAACTGTTCAGGGTTCGACCTCTGCGGTCGTATCAAGCTGCGCCCGGCGGAGCATTTTATTAGCATTTAATATAATTGACTAAGTTTTGTAGATTTAAGGCAAAAAATAATATTTACATTTCAATAGATTCAAACAGGTTTGAAATGAGTTTTTGGAAATCAAATGTAACTGTGAAAAGGTCCACTAATATTGCCGCAGTAGGAAAGAGGGGGTATTTGGGGGTGGGGGGGTCAATCCTATAACAGCACAGTTAAAGTAAATGTATATCAAAGTGCAGGAGTGAACTAGTAATCCAAGTTGTTGTAGAATTTGTTTGAATTACAAAATTCAGTCCTTCAGAGTAGTTCTTCTTAGATAACTGAACCTAAAATTTACCTGTATGAAAATAGAAAACATGGCAGGTGTAAGGACCTAGTCTCCACTGCTATGGTTAGATATGCTAAGGTGTTAAACACGATGTAAATATTGCAGGTGCTCAAGATGAACCAAACCAGTGCAATGGATGGCTTTAAAGGAAATTTTATATTTTTCATTGGGATTTATCAGGTTTCAGAAATGGTACAGAAAAGGCTCTCCAGTTGTATTGAGAACATAGCAAAGATACAGCTTATGTTCCCCTTTCCTATCATATTTCAATTTCAAATAATAAAGCATAGGTTTCCAAATTCCATGAAGGATCATGCAGAAATAAAGTATCCATTCAAAATTTTGTGTATTTCAGGTCCAAGAAATGGTACAAGAAATGAAGCATGGGTTCTCCAGTGCCATGGAGGAGCTCGCTAAGATACAGTTTGGGGATCAAAAGCTACAACAACAAATGACCAGTGAACGAGACCAACATGAACTGGAAGTCAAAGATTTAACTGGTGCTGTCAATCTGTTAAGAGTAAGTTTCTCAGTGGCTTACAGCTGTTATCATAATGCTAAGAGCAAGTTAAAGGTTTGGTTGGTTTGCTTGCCTTGTTTGTGTTAATGTTTGCTCAAGCATTGTAATTAAGATTGACATCTGAATACAATATATAAAGGCAGAGTTAAACTTGTATACTTTATACTTAAATTTGATTGGACACTATCAAATAATCAAATTTAGCTAAAAATAAAGCAAGCAAGGCAAGCAAGCCAACCAAACTCTTACTCTGCATGCATTAGGAAATTGACTGTAAGTGAATTGCATTTAAATAATTACCAGAATCAGAACATAGATTATGAAAAAAATGAAGGTTCTTGATGATGAAAGTGAAAGTAATTGCAATCATCAATTCTGTTTACTATTGAAATACAAAACTGTTATGATTATTCTAATGCAACTTTGAAAATGTTGGCTTATATCCAGTCATTCCATCAGTATACCTAAAAAATATTTATATTTATATCAGAATCTGAATTACAATTTAAAAGAAAACAGTTACCTTATGAACAGTACCCTTAATGAAATGTTATACTCCTCTTGTAATAATGAAAAAGACTAAACAATGGAAAAGTCAAACACCACTGATGTGGACCAAAATGAAATAGAAAAGTTAAACTATTTCTTCTGCCTGTGTGGTCTTTAAGCATTTTGATGAATTGGTACAATGTTTCATATCTGACTTCATATACATATACTTTACTTGTTATTGCACATTATATGTTGTATCTTTCTGTGGTGGATCTAGGAGTTTTAATGAAAACGAGACCAATGTTTTTATATCTTAACAAATTGAAACATTTGTTAATTTATATTGGTAATTTCTTAGTTTTCACTTTGACTCTTTTTATTCTTTATGAGGAAGGGGATAGAGCTCTTATTCTGCCCCTGTTTATTAGTCCCCTACCGATGAAGTCCAAGGGAACTTTAGGTTTGCACTCTGTCTGTCTGTCTGTCTGTCCATCCGTCAGTCTGGCTAATCAGTTTTCCACAATTTTTTCTTAGTGCTTGAAGATATTGATTTGATATTTGGTGTATTGTTTTATCATGACAAGTTACCAGGGATGGGGTAATCGTAATCTGTAATCGTAATCGATTGTAATTGATTACATTTTTTCCAGTAATCTACAGTAATCTGTAATCGAAGACATTTTCGATTACATGTAATCGTAATTTAATCGATTACAGCAAAAATCATGATGTAATCATCGATTACTTTCGATTACATTTCGATTACTTTAGTAAAATAGTTTGATGAAATATAACCTATTTTAAATGAAAACATGTATGTATTCATCACTTTGAAGTACTGATATGACTTAAAGATTTTATCAACTGCCTTTATATTTCTATCTATTGTCTCAAGCTGCATTATGATCAACCAGATCCCCTACCATAATTTACTTTATATCTAGCTTTTGAAACAAATGGATTTATGTGCTTGTCAATAAGTCAACACCTTTTATATTAAAATAAGAAAATAGATTTAAAATAAGAAATGTGTCTTAAGTTCTGTACTTCCTTAAAGTAGTAAGCTTATTTGTATTAAATTTCCTAAAAGCATAATTTTCAATAAGATTTAAGCTTAGAATAGATAAACAGTTGATTTCTCATAATGTTATGATATACATGTATATAAAAGATAAGAAAGTACACAAAATCCTTTTAACAATGAACCAATGCCTATGCATTGAAATTCTTTTCAGAAAAAGATACATGTATCCCTCGTTGACACTATAAATATATACTGTTTATAATTTTATTAGAGAGTAAAAAAATCTTAACAAACTTCTTGTCTTTACTAATCAGATGATCAAAGTCTTCTAATCACTATATAAGACACATACTTTGTTTTTATTTCAATTACTGTTTGTCTAATTAAGATGGAGATTTACATTATTTTGCCCCAGGTTATAAATTGTACTCCATTGGCAGTTTTATAACCTATAATTAAGGTGGTTATCCAACAAAAGGATTAAATCATGTCTGTCATTATAATTATAAATTTTGATCTTTAAAATTAGCTGAACTAATTAATAACTCTACTTTTTATATTTTCTTCAGAGAAAACTTCCTACATTGTAAATAACCATGCTAAAATATACCTGCTTTTAATGAATAAAAACAAAAAAGCTAACTTAAGTCAGTACGAAAGCAAAATTATTAAAAAAACTTTAAACATATATATATAAGTGATTGATGGAATGCGATGTCATCTCTAATTCATGTTGAAAGTCAAAATTTCAAGATCTTTTTAATAATTCTGATCCTCAATAAGAGATTCCATCTAGATAACAACTGTCAACTCATAATTTGGAATCAATGCTTTAAATGCTGTTTTTTGGTAAAGTTCTAAATTTCCACTATACAAACGTTGATCAACATAATTGTGTTTAACTTACTTTATTTTTTTTTTAAATTTTGATTCAAGTAATTGACAGTAACCGAAAAGTAATGTAATTACTTTTGATAAAGTAATCGATTGCAATCGATTACATAAAAAAATCTGAGTAATCGATTATTAATCGATTGCACAAAATACCTTCATGTAATCGATTATTAATCGATTACATTTGTCAGTAATCGTGCCCATCCCTGCAAGTTACAGATCAAGTTCGAATTTTGTTCTGGTCTGACGATTTTGTGCAGAGTTATGGTCCTTGAACTAAGAAAATCCACTCAAATAATCAGTTTTCCACACTTTTTTTTGTCATGCTTGAAGATATTGATTTGATGATTGATATACAGTTATATCATGACAAGTTACAGATCAAGTTCAAATTTTGGTCCGGTCTAATGATTTTGTGCAGAGTTATGGTCCTTGGACTAATGATTTTGTGCAGAGTTATGGTCCTTGAACCAATGTATTTGTTTACACATCAAGTTAAATAACTTACTGCCACAGATCAAGTTCGAATTTTGTTCTGGTCTGATAATTTTGTGCAGAGTTATGGTCCTTGGACTTAGAAAATTCACTCAAATAATCAGTCTTCCTCACTTTTTTTCGTCATGCTTGAAGATATTGCTTTGATAAATGGTGTATAGTTTTATCATGACAAGTTACAGATCAAGTTCAAATTTGGTTCAGGTCTGAAGTTTTTGTGCAGAGTTATGGTCCTTGGACATTTTCCACATAATTTTTCGTCATGTTTGAAGATATTGACTTGATATTTGTTATTTAGTTTACACCATGACAAGTTATAGATCAAGTTAGCATTTTATTCCAGTACAATGAATTTTTAACCGGTTGGGGACTATGTATTGCCAGGCAATACTCACAGAATGCTTGTTATTTTATGTGTGGAAAATAAGTTAAAAGAAACCATTTTATACATGATTGTACAATTAGATATTGATGGTTAAAATGGTAATTTTGATTTATTGATAATTTTCTGAACTATTTATGAACCTTTGTATCGATCAACTAAAGGATGAAAACAATCTTTTCATGGGTGAAAAGCCTTAAGAATTACAAATAGTTCTGAGTGATTAGAAAACTTAGCAGTTGAAGGATTTTCTTTAAGTGTAAAAGGATAAGCAAGCTATGAAAAGAAACCAATTAATTCATAATAACCTCATAATCAGGTTTAATATGTTGGATCAAATTTTTTTTAAATATATTTGTTGCTGAGAAATACAAGATTAACTTGAGGAATCCTAAAGGCATGATGAATATATTTATTTTATTGATAAGTAAATGTGAAATGCATATTTGCATATTTAAATCACGTTTTATGATAGACCATTTACCCTCAACAAAAGCATAATGGTTTCCTGAGCTATGTCTATACCGGAAAATAAAAAAAAAAAAAATACTGTAAAAGTTTTTTTTTGTCATAATTTTTCATAGTTAGTTGAAAAATCATTGGTTCATGGGTTTCAAAATTTACAAATGAATAAAATTAGTGGAAAGTATGTACTTGGTTTTTTTACCAATTGCATATCAGTAATCCATGACAATTGACATTCAATGTACAACAGAACAGTCACAATACTTATGTATATGTTGACCCGTCTGTTTAAAAGGTTTTTAATGTTAAGTCAAAACATTTTTATGGACATTGTAAGTTTGAATACTGCAAAGTAAGAAAAAAATATCACAGTTTTTAATACATTTCTTTAGTTAAAATTTTAAAAGGCCTATTTGAAATCCAAAGTAGACTTTTACCTTTGAACCTGAGTGTATGTCATAGACTGTTACTTCTACATTTATTTCTGTAAAGCATGTACATTAGACTAACATCCAATTACATTTATATCTGTAAAGCATGTACATCTGACTAACATCCAATTACATTTATTTCTGTAAAGCATGTACACCTGACTAACATCCAATTACATTTATTTCTGTAAAGCATGTACATCTGACTAACATCCAATTACATTTATTTCTGTAAAGCATGTACATCTGACTAACATCCAATTACATTTATTTCTGTAAAGCATGTGCATCTGACTAACATCCAATTACATTTATTTCTGTAAAGCATGTACATTAGACTAACATCCAATTGTCCCCATGAATTGTTTCCATTTGAGAAATAGACTTGATATTAAACAGTAATCTGCATGTAAATATATTTCTGGTTACTGAAACATAATATGCATAGTATTCGAAGATATTTCTATACCTTTTTACCTCTTTCATTGTAGGAAGACATCAAATCTTTTTCATCTCAGTTGAATGAAGTGAGTGACACCCAGAAGAATTTAGAAGAAAAAGTAAACAGTATGGAGTGGAATAGTAAAAACTTTATTAAGGAAGAACTTGAAAGACGTGGAATTTCTGATAAAAACAGGTAATGTACAAATAAATCAACTTCGCTTTAATCATCATTCTTTCCAGGACGTAAATCTAATCATGGCTGCTGCTACTATAAACAAAACATTAAGAATGATAAGATGAAATTAATTCATAGGAGTGCAGATTGAGGAGGTTTTATTTTTTCTGTCTATCCTGTTCCAAATATTTTCTAATGTGCATCTGGGTTGTTTTATGCAAATTTCCAGTATGAAAATATACTGATAATATTAATTTGACAATTGTTTTAGTATTTTTATAATGATGGTACTTTTTTGTCTTCTAGGTCATCCCCAGCACCAGGTCGTAGTAAGCGGTCTCCTAGTCCAACAAAAGATGTATCCCCAATGGTTCATCCATACCTAGCAAGCTTACAGCAACAGCAACAGAAAAGTTTGTGTGTTTATAAATATGGTTGTATTTGAACAGAAGGGATGTGGTGTAATATATATAAATAAGGCAAATTATTGTGATAGACAGCATAACATATAGATATATATATTGATTCAATTATATTTTCTATACATTAACAAAAAAAAGTATCTGTGACCACAAATTAATTTAGAGATTTTGAAATTGCATTATGCCTTCTCCCAACAAAAAAATATAAATGATAAACTCAGATTGTATGTTGAAAATTATTTATGCCACAACTCTAGTTCTTGTATAAAACTTTACAGCTCATTACATTTAACTGTATAGTTGCCTTGCTTTTTATGAGGAAGGTTTTATCATGAGAACAAAAAAACAACAACAAACAAACAAAACAACCCAGTATCTGTCACAAAAGCTTGTAGCCTCTACTAAAAATCAATAAAGTTTACAAAACTACTTATGTATCCATGATGCTTCTATAATTATACAGATATTGAAGAAGATAACCAATCCATAACAGCATTAGCTTGTAAGAGTTTGAATTTGTCTCAGGCTCTACATGAGAAGTGTTTACATCTAGACATGTCAGTATCTACCAGTGATGAGGAGGAAGCTGTCAGAATGTCCAAGGTAGGTCAGGGTAGATAACTCAGCTTAACTTTATCACATTCCCACCAATTTAATGTGTAAAGCCTGATTTTACAGTTTCATGATTTATTATCTTTCTTTTAGCATATTTTTAATGCACACACATTTATGGATATATTTTGCATATATATATATGTATAAATTTTATTGGGCAATTTTATTCCTGTTGTTAATAAAACCATAACAGTAGTTATTTTTGATTTCCACAATAACTATAAATTGGTATGGTAAAACTTCTTGATGCTGTACTAGAAAAATAGTTATTTTAATGTGTCTTTATTTAAAACTGCAATTTATAATATTGAATACAGTCCAACTAGACTAAACCTGACTTGATGCAAAGTCCCTGTACATACCAACATTAATATATTTTTAACCTGTAAAAGCAGAACCCGGGTCTAAAACAAACATGATCCGCTGACCTTTAAGAAGTTTGGAATAGACAGGTTTAGGTTTCACTGTATAACATTATGATTATTTTAAATAAGTATTGAAAAGTGAAAAACAAAATATTAAAACAGAAATATTATTAAAAAATGTTTAGTTTTCCCTCTTACAGTTGCTTTTCTGAGGTTTAAACTAATGGTCAAGTTTCTGTCAAATAAATATTTTTGGATTGTGAAAATTTGCAGCTGTCAAAACAGGACATATATAATTACAACTTCTTGATAGTTTTATGGCATTACAATTTCAGATGCCTCCATTTCCTGTAGCAGTGAAAGAATCAAGCTGTAAGTTGCAAAGAAATCAGAAAAGATTCATATATATATATATATATATATATATATATATATATATATACATAAGATATAGAATATATTTATCTAAAATTATAACTAATTTGATTTCGTTGTGAAAAATGTGTGGAAATAAATGAAAAAGTATTCAGGTGGATTTAAATAATGGAATTTTAATCTGTATACATACATATTTTGATTAGGAGTTTAAAATCCTTTTGATTGAAATATAAATATTTTACATCACATATTTGTTAGCTTGTTTAGTGTTTAAATGTTCATATCAGTTTCTTTATTTTAAGTTAATGGTTAAAATGCACAGATTAGAATTAAAGGACAAATGGCATTACGGAACATATTTGACCCAAATATGGCTAAATAAACAAAAAATTTCCTTCATACTTTCTTCGTATGTCCTTGACAGATGTAAGAGAATTTAATCAACTATCTTGTTTCTTCATTTTAAGTCCTACTAGTGCAGATAATTATTTTGGGTTAGATACAGATATTAATGCCCCTTGTCCTATTTATCACAACAGGGAACATCACCACTATCTTACCTTAATAGCCATCATGTTGTTATACTTATATTCCAATGCATGCTTTTAATGTTGGTTTGCTAATTAACACCTGTTCAGTTTCACCTTCATTGTCACAGATTATCAGGAGACACGCCCATTTGCACAACAGAAAATCCCACCACACGAACAGCTTATGGAAGAAGGTAATACTCTTGCATGTTTTTCATATATAGTTTAGTTTTCATGCATGATGCTTCTATTTGTATTATACCATGATACCATGAATTGGATATCCTGTATCTGTAATGCCTTACCAAAAAAATCAAATTGCTCAAAGACCCCTCCTAAATTATTGGAAGCTATCGTATAAAACTGATTATTATATCTTGGTATGAAACCGATACACCCATCAGGTGTCCGCTTTTCAATACGCTTTACAGTTAAAATCAGAAATACAAAATATGTTTTTTATTCAAAACCTATACATTTAAGGTTGTGTGGGTTTTAATGGTTTAATTTTGCGAGATTATTATTATTATTCCAGGACACATGTCTTATTTACAATTATACACATTGTTGTTCAAGGTTACTTAATATGGTTGATGGTTCTATCTTTATCTAAATACATAACAGCAGAAGTATTTCTTATATTACAAAATAATATCCATGAATTTTTATTAATTAGTAATAATGATTGCCTGTTTTAACAGTCGTCAATATGATGAGCTATCTTAAAAATTCTCTAATTTATGGCTAAAATTCAAAATTAAAACTTAGCATTTCCAAGCACTAACTGTGTCACCTTATATGCATTGCCTATTCCATAGGACTTGACCTTTAACACACCATTGCTAATGGCTTCAAGATATCATAGAAGTTATAAAGTATTGAATATGTACTAACTTTCCTTTCACATTTCATTGCAGTTCTTAAATTGATACCATTACATCTCTCTAAGTATGAAAACACTTAGTGGAAGTTTTCCAGTAATTGTTTTCATCAATTTTCCATGTTTCGTATGCAACATAAGATAACAGTTTTTCAATGTGTGTGTTTTTACGTGCAATTGTAGAATGACAAACTCTAATAAAATTTGAACAAATGCCAATTCTGCAAACTAAGAATGCAAGTTTCATTAATTATTTACATTTGCAATATCCTACCATCAACATGTGAACAGAAGTTAAAATAATGAAATAACTTATAGAATAGGAGCTACAACCTTGAGTATACAATGACAACAAAATACTTCCATAGAACTTTATAAAAAAACTTCATTTTTATATGCCCGTTTATTATATACTTAGTAGTAAATACAGATAAATTGTATGTGTAATACAATCATTGGCAATCGTGCTGTATCAACCACCCGTGATGATATCGATATCAGCACGGTTGCAAAGGCTTTATCACACCTTTAATCTGTATGACATCACGTCATCGATTGCAGTGAAAAGGCTTTATCAAACCCCTAATCTGTATGACGTAATTTCAAACCTCCTTATCTGTATGACGTCATGTCCCATAAAAAACATCTACGTGAGGTATATGTATATAATAAAGTGTATATGATATGGCGTTTTCAATATCACACACCGTATCAACCCTCAACCAATATAATCCCTCGAGCAGAGCTCTTGGGTTGATACGGATGTGATATTGAAAAAGCCATATGATATTACTTATTTACGGGACGTATTATGGTATACTGTCGTCCGTCGTCAACATGTCGGACAATAACTCAAAAACGCTTGAACCAATTCGCATGAAACTTTGGTGAATTATTTATATCTATTGATGTGAGCTCCCTTTCATTTTTTATAAATTTAAGATTTTAAGTTTCCGAGTTTTGGGTTTTTTTGTCGAGCCTGCGACTTTTGTCGCAGAAAGCTCGACATAGGGATAGCGATCCGGCGGCGGTGGCGGCGGCGGCTACGGCGGCGGCGGCGGCGTTAGCTAACTTCTTAAAAGCTTTATATTTTAGAAGATGGAAGACCTGGATGCTTCATACTTTGTATATGGATGCCTCATGTTACGAAGTTTCCGTCAGTCACATGTCCAATGTCCTTGACCTCGTTTTCATGGTTCAGTGACTACTTGAAAAAAAAGTTCAGATTTTTTGTAATGTTAAATTCTCTCTTATTATAAGTAATAGGATAACTATATTTGGTATGTGCGTACCTTGCAAGGTCCTCATGCCCGTCAGACAGTTTTCACTTGACCTCGACCTCATTTCATGGATCAGTGAACAAGGTTAAGTTTTCGTGGTCAAGTCCATATCTCAGATACTATAAGCAATAGGTCTAGTATATTCGGTGTATGGAAGGACTGTAAGGTGTACATGTCCAACTGGCAGGTGTCATCTGACCTTGACCTCATTTTCATGGTTCAGTGGTTATAGTTAAGTTTTTGTGTTTTGGTCTGTTTTTCTTATACTGTATGCAATAGGTCTTCTATATTTGGTGTATGGAATGATTGTAAGGTGTACATGTCTAGCTGGCAGGTGTCATCTGACCTTGACCTCATTTTCATGGTTCAGTGGTTATAGTTAAGTTTTTGTGTTTTGGTCTGTTTTTTCTTATACTGTATGCAATAGGTCTTCTATATTTGGTGTATGGAATGATTGTAAGGTGTACATGTCTAGCTGGCAGGTGTCATCTGACCTTGACCTCATTTTCATGGTTCAGTGGTCAAAGTTAAGTTTTTGAGTTTTTGTCTTTTTTTCTAATACTATATGCAATAGTTCAACTATATTTGGTGTATGGAATGATTGTAAGGTGTACATGTCTAGCTGGCAGGTGTCATCTGACCTTGACCTCATTTTCATGGTTCAGTGGTCAAAGTAAAGTTTTTGAGTTTTTGTCTTTTTTTCTAATACTATATGCAATAGTTCAACTATATTTGGTGTATGGAAATATTTTATGATCTATATGTCAGTCACGCAGGTTTTATTTGACCTTGACCTCATTTTCAAGGTTCATTGCTCAGTGTTAAGTTTTTGTGTTTTTGTCTGTTTTTCTTAAACTATAAGCAATAGGTCAACTATATTTGTTGTATGGAAGAATTGTTAGCTGTACATGCCTGCCTAGCATGGTTCAACTGACCTTGACCTTATTTTCATGGTTCATTGGTCAATGTTTAGTTTACTTGGTTAATGTTAAGTTTATGTGACAGTTGTAATAAAGCTTTATATTTAGGACTATCAACATAATATCAATGATTAGTAAAGAAGGCGAGACATTTCAGCGTGTGCAGTCTTGTTTCATTAACATAGGGGGATTTTCTAGTTTTCGGACAATAACTCAAAAAGGCTTTCACCAATTTGCAAGAAACTTTGGTGAATTGTTTATATCTATTGCCATGAGCTCCCTTTCGATTTTTATAAATTTTAGATTTTATGTTTCCGAGTTATGGGGTTTTATTCATTAAAAAAAGGGGGGTTTTCCAGTTTTCAGACAATAACTCAAAAATGCTTTCAGCAGTTTTCATGAAATTTGGTGACTGGTTTATATCTATTAAGATAACCTCCCTTTAGTTATCATGAATTTATGATATGACAATTAGAAGTTATTGAACTTTATTCTTTGAAAAAGTGTTGGGCGTATCATGCACTCATGGCGCAGCTGTTTATTAAAAGTAGCTGATCAATGGTAACTCATTTGCATCAAGTTTAATATGAATTCAATTTGTTAGTTGGTATTCTTTTCCAGTACTGTATAGATTATGTACATTGTATCTTACTTAGATGTATGTCTGTTTATGTGATTATAAACAATTACTGTCTTTTGATGAGGCATATAAGTGGTCTTATTGATAAAAATAATTTTATTGAGGTCAATGTTTGTTTTAAACAATTTTTGAAGGCTGTTGTCAATACTTTAAAAAAAAGTTATACCAAGTTGAATGAAACTATAGTTCAAAAATAGGTTGAAAAGTTATATTTTGATGAATAAAGAATTTTACTTTTAATTGGTGATTTGTTGTGTATATCATGTATATCACTTCTGCTCTATCTTTGCACACCATTACAGATTTTATAAGAATATAGTTCAAAAATGTACTAGTGAACCTGAAGTTTTTCTTGTAATGGATACATAAACAGTTTTATTTGAAAAAAAAATGTCATGTACTTTTATTTTGCCCAGCTCTAAAAAAAATTCCAATTGAATTGATGTTTGAAACACAAACAATTGGCTAGATGTTTCTTGAAAAAAACCAATGTCATGTCTCATAAATGAAATCCATAGTATTTATTGTTTCAGTACAAAGGGAGAAGATAGCACAAGAAATGGTGGATGCTGAAAAAAGTTACTGTTCACACTTATGGACAATTATAGATGGCTACATGAACACTTTACGACAAGAAGAATTAATGAGTTCTAGAGAACTATCTGAAATGTTTCCTCCAGTCATTCCACATATTTATGAACAACATTGTATAATGCTCAGGAAAATGGAAGAACGTTTGTTAAAATGGAAATACAGTGGGATTATGGGAGATTTGTATGTTAGATTAACCGATCCACAAAATGTAAGAAAAACAAATATCATCAAAAGCATTAACTATTTTAAAATCTATTTTTAAAAAACTTTGAGTAGTTGGTTTTTTACATTGTTTTTTTAAGCCTGTATGAGTGGACATCGATAAAACTATAAATTTCATTGGACATTAAAATTCATGGTTTTGATGAATCTTATAATAGACAAAAATAAGTTCCCCAAGTGTTTTTCATTAGACTGGAAGTTTGTGACCGAGTTTTTATTTAGCTGGTTAACATCCAACTGTTCAGACTACACTAACTTGTCACTATTTTGATATGGATTGTCAAGTTGTTTGCAAAATCAACAGAATGCATTATCTTTGTACAGCCATATGATAGATTGTTTCAACTTATTATGAACTCTGGCTTTTTTTCCTAAGTTAAACACATCAGATGTTATTTATAATAAAGTCACATGTCTCAGTAAAGGGGAGATAACCCATAATTACAGATCACTTGACTTCAAGTATTATTAATTTTGTATTTACAGATAGATGGTTTAGCTTTGTATAAAGATTATATCACAGAATTCCCATCAGTTATCAACAGTATGAACCTATGGTTTGCTCAGTCAGCAAGATTCAGGGATATTATGAGGGTAACTAGTTTTATATTTCTTTTAACTAGCTCATTGTCCCATTCACAGTTTTTATAAAATGAACATTGGATTTACAAACAGAAAATAAAAAGGTGAGGATTCATTTATTTTTGTGTTTATCAATTTTTGGGGGATCTTGGATACTTGTTTTCAAGGATTTGCCAAAAATTGCATACAATCCTATAAGGAATGTTTACCTCATTGAACACTTATATTCCCCATGAATTCCAGGAAAATTGGTACTCCACAAATAATAATGAATCCGCAGAACACGAAAATAGGTTCAATTTGTTTATCAATAAACGTTGCACTAAAAGGTATACAACAAATTGGAGCTGAAGACCATTTTTAGAAATATTGTACGTGTCATGTATCAATTAAATACATGTGTATGTTCAATTTTGTTCAGAATTTTACATTATACTGCAGTAAACTTTTAAGATACTTTTCTCAAGTTTACAGAATAAAATCAACCTTTACCCAAGTCAGTGCTTTACTTTTTGTCTTTAAAGTAATCACAAGATATATAATTTTAAGAAAAAGCATTTGATCAGGATAATGATGATATTTGATAACTAAACTAAAATCTTAAGTATGATTTCTTATCAATAAAATAGTTTACACCCTATTTACATAAGAGAGATCAGTCTGTACATCCATCTGTTTGTTCTTTTCTTCTTTCTGTCTGTCCATGTACCTTGTTAGCAAACTCCTCCTAATGGTCTTTGTAGATACTGATAGAATTTTACACAGTTGTAGAACACTATCCCAGTTCAGCATGTTCATGGGGGAGATAATCAGATTTACTTACTTCAATATTGTTGTTAACTGTGCTACCCTCTTAAAACAAAAGTATTTATTAACTTACTAAGGTGCAGAAATCTTGAAGGGTAATTATAAGATTGTTACTAAGAGTATGTTACGTATGTTTTTAGTATTGTACTTTAGTATTATATATTGACTGATATAATTCGTATACAAGATTTATATTCAGGTTTATCTTTTAAGGGAAATTAAATATGTTCAGTAATTGAATATTTATATTTTCAGAGTTCATGTTTAGCCTCATCCAGTATAGTACCATTGTTATTAGCTCCATTGCAACAGATACCTAAATACTCACTGCTTATAAAGGTTTGTTTTATAGTACCATTGTTATTAGCCCCATTGCAACAGATTTATCAATTTCATCTTTTAGCATTTTTTGATAGAATTTCTGTGAATTCATAAGGTCAGAAATAGTCTATTTAAACCCTGTTATTCAAATATTTAAAGGAAAAAAAGAAGTATAACCGGTATTTGATACCATATAGATATAGGAAGATGTGGTATGAGTCATATGTCTTGTAGCAAACAACTGATCATAATATTGTATGCTGATAAGAGCAATAATATTTTTGTTTTTCAGAATATGTTAAAGTTCACCAGTTCAGACCACCCAGACAGATATTATTTAGAATCATCATTATCAAGGTTAAAGAACTTCCTTAATACAATGAATGATGACCTTGAAGGTGCCATGCAGTTTCTTAACATCGGTAAACCCCCAATATCTCGGTAAGTGATAACATACTTTTATACCTTCTTAAACCATTGTATGACCTTCTGGTATTTCTGTATTTAGACAAACTTTCATTTATCACTACTGCCAATAGCAAATGCTGTAAATTCAGAATATAGTTAGCAAATTATTGAATTTATTATCTTTGAAATCATGTAGATACATAATGTAAGGTTTATTATTGTGACACCTGTAAAGTAGTAGAATATTCCAACCATATATTTAAATGCAAGCTGTAATTATTGTTGGTTCTTTTCTTCTGCATTTTCTGCATTAGCAAAAACATCACCTTAATTTCTGAATTTGCAGTGTATATATCTAAACTACATATCCAATAATAAACTACTCACTTGAGATTGTGGTTTATATAAATATTTCAGGTAAATGTTTTTCAGAGGAAATCTGTCAGTCAAGATGGAAATATTTTTCATGCTATGTGCATAGCCTCAAATGAAAGGGACTGCTGTAGATATTCCTGTTTCAGGTCAAAAGTTAGTGATATCTGTATCATATTAAAGAATGGCAGTGACACTTATAATGTATTTAATTCTATTGTTAGGTCTAGAGATAGTGGGAACTCTGTGAGATCACAGTCTAGTGGTAGTAGTTGTGAAGCTAATCGAGTGTCTAGTGCCAGAGATAGTGGGATCCATTCTAATGGTGAAGATATGGGAAGACATGCAGCATCTCCTGCTACTACTAGGAGGTCAATTTCTTATAAAATACATTTTTTAATTGGATAGATGACACTGATGTTATTATAGATAAATTTGCATGAAGATATGTGTTATAAAACTCAAGATTACAGCTGTACCTGATTAAAACACCTGCTTAACATAAAAAAAACATTCATTTTTCCTTTGTAAATGACGAAACAAGCTGAAATTGATTTAATGATTTTCACTTTTCACACTTGGAAAAAGTAGGGGTAAAAAATGTTAAGAGATCAGTTTAAATTCTTCATCCAGTTTCATAGAAGATGTACAAATATTTTGGTCATCTTGCATGAAGTGTTAAACTGGCATATAGTATGGTAAATGTTTGGGGAGTGCAGAGGGGTAAATGTGTTGTGTAATCTACTCCTTCTTTATTTTTCAACCCAGAACATTCAAACTTTTTTGGATATTTGCATATACATTTTTTATACGTTGAGATGTGAACATCACATCTATACATTTAAATATTTTTTTGTAGATTTTCCAGATGGTAAAATTTGGTCCATTTTAGCAGCATCCTTTATTGAGGTTATCCATTTTGTGTTATTAACTCATTCAAATACATTTAGATGCTCCCTCAAGCATTTCAAATACTATTAACCATTTATATAGCTTTTCAAATTACAAATATAAGTATTACAACCCAGACATTTGTGTTTTGAATCCAATTTAATTTTACTTTGAAATTTCAAGCCATTCACAATAGTTTACAGGCTGTTTGTATATTTTTGTCTTGATAATAAAGAAAGTAAAGTCCATCATTTATCTATTTGACAGGTATGTCCTACAGGTGCTAAGAGACCGAAGGGAAAGAGAACAGACCGGTGAACATTTTCATAATGGACCTGCAGTGAATCCAATGAGGCCTAATGTTCATGCATTTGGAAGTCATCCTGATCTAAGTGTACCAGAGTACCATGATTACTTTGGTAACGTTCGTCATGTACCTGCATACATGCCATATCAAAATGGACAGAAAATGTACTCAAGTTTAACAAAAATTCCAACAAAAAGTCCTGAAAGGAGTCAAGATAAGCCAGCACGTAAGATTAAGATACGTAAGAGACCAGATAGTCAGAAAAGTCTACCACTGCCAAATTCAAACTATCTTAGACCTCTTACCCCTCATTTACCTATTGGTGGTTTATCAAGTCATGATAGTTTTGATGATCAAGCTGTTCCTAGAAAGAAACAACCTAGCAGACGACAGATGCGACCAGCATCCTCCATTGATTTCTCACATGCAGATATTGAAAGACGTGAAATGTTTGCAAAAAGTTTCACAAATTCTGGAAATTTTAATCAGGAAGACTCTTATCAGAGAGGGCGTAATGAATTTTCTCCAGATATTTATGAAAGAAAGGAAAGCCACCAAGAAAGACTTTATCGTCAGAGTCAACTGAATTCACCACGAGGGCAGCCTGGAGAAGGTAGAGCAAGGAATGATTTACACATGTCTCTTCAGAAACTGTTAGCTGAACGACAAAAAGCAGATTTAGATAAACAGAGACAAGATAATTATGAGGAAAACCATCCATATGCAAACGATCCTCCATTCAGGCCTCTGGCATCAAGTTCTGTAGAGGAAAACATAGACATTAAAAATGAACCACCAAAACTTCCTCCAAAAAATACAGATCAAGTAGAAGATTATGGAATATTTGGAGATGATGATGAGGAGGAGGAGGATGAAGATGATTATGAATATGATGATGATTATCGTGACAGGAAACCAGTATCAGAAAACCAAAATGTATCAAGAATGCAAGAAGTATTAGAAAATTCAGATACATCGTCACCAGAGCCAGTGACAATTGAAAGTGAAGCAAGTGTTTCTCAATCACGATCAAAAGTTTATCAAATGGATTCTGATCATGAAGAACAGTCACTAACAGAGTCTTTGTCTCTTGATCATACCATTAGTGGTAGTTCAACACATGATCAGAATCTTAGTGCAAAAGGTGAAGAAAGTGAAAAATTGTCAAGTGAAGAAAAAAGTACAAAAAGAGACAGAAAAATGAGACCTGAAAATTTAGTCCCTATGAAACCTGAAAGGAGAAAAACTGTGGCTAGCACTAATCCTACTGAGGTAAAAAGTGAAGAGATTGACAGTGGAAGTGAAAGAAGGCATTCTTTTGTTCAAGGTCAAAAGCCTCCAGAAGAATTTAGAAAACCAGAAACAATTAATTCTGAATCTGATAAAAATCAGTTAAGTATTTTTACAGGAGAATCAGACAAGAGAATGACTAAACCATTGTCACTTAAAGCAAGACAAATGGATGCATTTAACATTGCACCTCCAAAGGAGGCAACTTTTTCTGCTTCTCAATTGAGGAGTCGTGAAGGAACAGCTAGAAAATTGCCACAAGTCAATGGACGATTTAGTGTTCCAGTGTTTGATTCGTCATATAAATCCAAAATTCCTACACCTCCACAGAGTCCTACAGACAGTAAATCTTCAAAAACAGGAAGTGTTAAAGAAACAAAAATCCCCGTTTACTCTCCATTAAAAAAGAAAGGAGAAAAATCTTCAATTGAAAATATATCCCGGTCAACAGAAGATGTGTCCAAGTTAAAAAAGAAAAGTCACTTCAAGGATTCAATCAAAAGCTTTTTTGGGAGGAAAAGGTATGATACAATTTAGATTTTATTACCGGTACATCAAAATGTGGCATGAGGTAAAATGGCAATGCTTCCTCAACTTTATGTTTAGTCTTAAATCTGCTTGCATGTCCTGTCTACACATTTTATAAAGAATGGTAGTATTAAAAGTGAACATTTTTCTTGTTCACAGTTTAAACTACAGATTCTGTTGACAAGAAGGAGCGTTAGATTATGTTTGTTGTTGTTATTGATAACATCTATAGGATAAATTTAACACCTTTGATAAAAAAACTATTTATTGAAAAGATATCTCTTATGAAAACAGATCCAAATATATATTTATTTCAATTAATGTTACAAAAAGTGCAGACATCTTTGTTCACAGATTTTGGGTGTTTTTCCATATCACATGCACAGTTATTAAGGTATGCGGACTATAATTAAAATGGTGATAAGATTTTCATTTTTTTTTAAAGACTAAATCAAAACTTGAGTTACACATGTATTAACTTTAGTTTGGAAAAAATGTGTTGTTCAAAGTAATGGGAAAACTTTATTAAGATCATTTTAAAGAATAAAAGTTTCCAAAGAATTAATATAAGTGTTTTCAGATGTTTGTCAAAGTAACGATGATTGCTTCTCATAGAAAAAATAGGTCTTTTCAAATAATCACATGGTCAATTGAATTCTGGATGCTTTAGAATACTGTTGCAAATTTACAAGGTGTATATTACTTCATGAAGGTAAATTTTAAATCAAGATGTCACCAATACAGTTCTATGAAGATATGATTTTGTTTTAGGTCGTCAATATCAAAAGAAATGGATATCTAGGTACAGCATGATTCTATTTTCAGTTCTTTGGTTCAGGATTTTTGTTCTGATTCCTGATTAATCATTTCAGATTCCACACATCACTTACTAACCTGTTTTGTTACATTTGTTTTATTTAATTTTCCAAAATTGCTTACATTTATTTTATTTTTGAAGACCGGGGAATGCAGAGGACTCAGGAAATTTTGAATTTGTATGTATAGCCTTTTTCTCCGGAGCTTAGGTCTTTAGCTTTGCTATGTTAGTTATATCAGTTATTTAGAATGTATCCAAGTAGTTTTCTGTAATTTTCAAATCTGTTTACTTTGTTATATTATTCCATTTATTTAGAAATTCTTGTAAGTAATTTTTATTTTACAAATCCATTTTAAAAGTGTTTTATAATTTACTGAGCTTTAAAATGACTATTAAATTTAGATATGAGAATAAATTTGATGTTCTTACACAACCCTTAGTGATCTTCATTGTAAGGCATGACTTATTATTTATTTAGCCATTGCTTAATGCATTTGAAGTCAGAATTACCAATGGATTTGTGTAAATGATTTTCCTATTTCAGTAAATCATGGTTGCAGTTATTTGATATATCGTCCTTGAATTAGCATTCTCACTTTGCATGTATCTATAATACACTTTATTTCACTTCCCTTTATAACATTATGTTGCACAATCTAATACATTTTATCATATACTTAAAAGTAAATACAAGTAAGTTATTGGTGTAATACAGTTAATGGCAATCGTTCTGTATCAGCCATACAGCCATACATGATGATATCAATATAAGTTGCAGTTGCATAGGCTTTTTTACCTACCTAATCTGTGTAACGTGTAAAGTGTATAAGATATGACTTTTTCAATATCACACACTGTTTCAACCCTCAACCAATATAAAACCAAGAGCAGAGCTTTATCAGTAAGATTATATTGGTGCCTCATGTTGATACTGCTCTGATATTGAAAAAAAAACATATAATATTTTCTAACCATAAAATCATAAATGCATTATAAAAATAGCTTGTATGATAAAGATCAAAATATATTTTATAAACATCTTCTTTCTTAGAATAATGAATGTGCTACTCAAATAAAATACAAATGCTAAAATACGCTAAATGTTTTTTTTACTAAAATATGCACTACTGTACAGATAAAATACTTAATTGATATGCTGAAATACAAATATTTAGATATGTCATACACATTGAATTAAGATGTTTATATATATTTAATGTTCACAAAATATACAGCTGACAGGTGGGCTGTACACAAGAAATACAAATGTTAAAGGAATAAAGTAGGTTGGTCTTTGAAAAACAACTATTTTAAAAAATATTATTCACAATTTTTGGATGGAATCCTAAGCTTCTGATTAGTGGTGACTTAGTAAGAAAAACAGAAAAAATTTAATTAATTATTTAGAAACTCTAGCAATAGCATGATTGTTAAACCAAGTAGGTCAACCAATATCAGTGATGACAAAAGCTTTCAATTAACACTGACTTTATCATGTAAACAAAATTTAAGAGGGGGATGGGTGGTTGTGGGTAAAATAATGGTATATTATATAGAAAATATTGCAATTATTTGTGGGTAAAATAATAATATACCATTATTTTACCCACAAATAATTGCAATATTTTCTATAAAAATCGCAACTGACATGCCTTAAACAGAGAGTTTGCATAGGAATTTCTTTCATTGATTCATTGCTTCATCAGTGCAGAAAATGTCAGAATTTTACAGCTTTCTGCAACATAATACCATTATGTGTTTTACATGTTTTATCTGTTTTCGCCATCTTGAAGCATTTATACTATTTGCTTGAACTGCAAAACATGGCCTGATCTTGAGAATAGATTCAAATTGTTTAAAGGGACACCTAATTTACTGCATTAAAGATATTAGTTATGACTGAAAAATTGCCAAATCGCCAATTGAGTTTTGAAAAGTAGAAAAAAGAAAAAAAAAAGGTGAAAATTATTGCCAAAGCAGGAGATATGATTAGAGATATTATTTGATTTTTGTCGAGCCTGTGACTTTTGTCGCAGAAAGCTCGACATAGGGATAGTGATCGGGCAGCGGCGTTAGCTGACTTCTTAAAAGCTTTATATTTTAGAAGCTAGAAGACCTGGATGCTTCAAACTTTATATATAGATGCCTTATGTTACGAAGTTTCCGTCTGTCATATGTCCATTGTCCTTGACCTCATTTTGATGGTTCAGTGACTACTATATTTGGTATATGGAATGATTGTAAGGTGTACCTGTCCAACTGGTAGGTGTCATTTTCATGGTTCAGTGGTCAAAGTAAGTTTTTGAATTTTGGTCTTTTTTTCTAATACTATATGCAATAGGTCAACTATATTTGGTGTATGGAAATATTTTATGATGTACATGTCAGTCTTGCAGGTTTTATTTGACCTTGACCTCATTTTCATGGTCCATTTCTTAGTGTGAAGTTTTTGTGTTTTGGTCTTTTTTTCTTCAACTATAAGCAATAGATCAACTATATTTTTTGTATGGAAAGATTGTAAGGTGTATATGTCTGTCTGGCAGGTATCATCTGACCTTGACCTCATTTTCATGGTTCATTGGTCAATGTTAAGTTTTCATGGTTAAGTTTGTTTCTTAGATACTATAAGCAATAGGTCAACTATATTAAATGCATACATTGATTGTAAGGTGTACATGTCTGGCATGGTAAATCTGACCTCGACCTCATTTTCATGGTTCAGACTGTTTTCTTAGAAACTATAAGCAATAGGTCAGCTATGTTCGGTTTATTGAATGATTGTAAGGTGTACATGTATTTCTCGTTTTGACCTCATTTTCTTGGATCATGTTAAGTTTATATGTTACTTGTAGTAAAGCTTTATATTTAGGACTATCAACATAAAATCAATGGTTAGTAAAGAAGGCGAGACATTTCACTCTTGTTAAATGATTGCTACAATCTAAAATTCTACAACAATTTAATTAAAATTATGTTAATTTTGTTTATTACATGTTAAAGAGAAGGATATTATAGTCTTATCACTTTAGTGCAGAAGTGTTTATGTTATGTCACTGTGAAGTCATAAACATGTTATCATTGAAATATTTGACAAACTTATGTCTTGTGAAAAGTCTGAGATATTTTATTTGATAGATTAATACTTTTAGGTTTTGATGTAGAATATTGAAATTTCTTTGACTATCATACAAAATTTTAAAACAGTTGTTTGAAATTAATTTGCTTTCAATACCTACATGTACATCCTTCACAAACTTTTCCTGTTTGTTTGTAACAATTTATTAATCCTCCACACCTGTACCGAGTTAGTTAGTTACAATTATTGAAAGAATATAATTTACGATTAATCTATTTGAACTAATGCAATCATGATTATTTGGGCAGACTTAGAACAATAGATGCTTTATTATGTTTAATTTGAAGATATCCTTTGAAAAAGGTAAATGTATGCAGTCTTTTATGAAGTATATTCATTTATATTTACAGGAAGACAGGCAAATACAAGTTTAAAGATCTTTCGGCATCAACAAATGACTTGTGGATGGGAGGATTTGATAATGTGATAGATATTGATATTTCAGATGATACTAACTCTATATACCATGAAGAATTTCTATCCACCTTTCCACGTACAGCATCAGCAAACAGAAATCCACCTCCTTACAATTATTTCGTTGAAGAACCTTGTAGTGCTGTCTGAATCTTGTACTAATAGATTTACATCTTGCATGATAGGGTATCCATGTGTTTGGGAAGAACAAGACTATTCATAATTATATAATTTTGATCCACCCATAGAATACAAAATTCAATTTTTTTATGCCCTTGCTGTAGCAGAGGGGTATTAAGTTTTACCCTTGTCCGTCCGTCCGTACATCCCAAAGTTGGTTTCCGTTCTCTAACTTAAGTTTGCCTCCTCCAAATTTTATGAAACTTATACACAATGCTCATTACCACAAAACACAGATCAAGTTTGAATTTTGGTGGTGTCACTTTAACCGTTCTAGAGTTATGCCCCTTTACAAATGGAAAAATTACTGAATTTTTCGTTTCTGTTCTCTAACTTAAGTTAGCCTCAACCAAATGTTATGAACTTACACACAACGCTTATTACCACAAAATACAGATCAAGTTTGAATTTTGGTGGTGTCACTTTTACTGTTCTAGGGTTGTGCCCCTTTACAAATGGAAAATTTGCTGAATTTATCGTTTCTGTTCTCTAACTTAAGTTTGCCTCAACCAAATTTTATGAAACTTATACACAATACTTATTACCACAAAACTCAGATCAAGTACAAATTTGGGTAGCGTCACTTTTACCGTTCTTCAGTTATGTCCCTTTATAACTTTATATGATATGCAAGCGGGGGCATCATCTGTGTCCCATGGACACATTCCCCATTTTTTTTACTTAAACTGTTTATGATGAAAAATACAAACAAAGTTTTACATTCTTAATGAGTCTAAACATTTTGAAATTAAATTAATTCTTTACTTTTTTTCTTGTTATAATACATAGTTTTGGCCTTCCTAAACACAATACATAATCGTCATTTATAAACATTTGTTTGCATGGGTCAACTGCATTCATCTCTCATGAGGTCACAATGATTATAATAAACTTCCAGGGGGGCATCTTGTTATTATTAATCGGTTGTTATACAACCATTTCAGCTGACATAATTTACATTCTTTTGAAGTTGAAAGACTTATCAAAAGTACAGTAAAGTAAACAATTTATGTCACCTGTATGGATAACACAGATTCGTGATATTAACCAGTAACATATTAAGAATTTTGTTAGAATTGAAGTAGAAGACTTTATTCCTTTAAAAAAATCTTAAAAATATTTTATTTGGTTATGAAAACAAAATCAGTGACCTCTTAGCTAGGGTTGATTTGCATAGGTTTCAAAAATAAACCTAAGGAGAGGAAATGGTTTCTATAAAGATGTAAACAAACTGCTTGTTCTTTCGAAATCTTATGCAACATAGTCTTCAAATGCTCAGTGTATTGATGCAGATCTTTGGGGTGATGATATGCTGTCTTGTATCTATTTTTGCTGAAACAAGCCCTGTGTATGTTTGCCATTATTAAAGTTTGTAAAGTTATGTCAGAACCTTTCCTCTCCTTGCACATTTTACCTTTCGTTATTTCATTATTTTGCATTAAAAAAGCATAATAAGCCTCTTGCATGTATTTCCAATTTCACATGCTGTTAAGGAAATCACAATTGTTCCATTAATGTGCTACATAAGAGAGAAAAACTCACATTATAAACTGAAATGTTTATCTGAACAAATCTTTGCAAAGTATAAGATTCTTGGAACAAATGAACTATAGCTAATTTTGTGAATTTTTTTCACATATATATACATATTGTTATGTATTTTTTGGATAAGGAGAGATAAGCACCTGAAGCAAATTGAATCATGTACAATTTATGCTATATACATTTAATCAACAATTTTATTTTTTCTGTAAAAATAAAGCATTTGTAATAACTATGCATTTAGAACAGACTTAAATCATCAACCCTGTTAGTAAAAGACACCAAATTGTATACATGTTTATAGTGCAATATTTATCATTGTTTACCAGTATTTGTTTATCATCATCCGTCCACATTGGAATCTTGTTTTAATATTAATTTGATTGCAAAATCATACATTTATTCATGTAAATTCTTTTATTCATTATAAGATTTATTGAAATTCCTTGAGAATGAATAGTAATTTATGGAACAATTTCTTCATAGAGGAAACAAGATTTATGTATACTTGATATACATCTATTTTTATAGTAAAGATATTATTGTTTGCTATATTTGATATTGTACTTTAGTCTATTCTGAGATAGTGGATTCTTTTTTAAATTCAAGGTTGAAACTATAAATAAAATAAAATCAGGTATTGAACAACATTTACATAGTTCAATTTAAAACAATTAGAATGCAAAATAACTACTTCTTGCCTAAATCTTAAGTGCCAAATCTAAAAATATGTGTATAGGTTTTTGTTATGATGTGTGTACTGTAGTTTGTTTCTTATTTGTAGGGGTCAGGGTCTTTGAAAGCTTTCAGAAGAATTATTTCAGTCATTGCACACTATAAAAGCCATTCTAGTTACTGTATGGCCTTTTTGTTAATCTCTCCATTTTAAAGGGTTCCAACTTGTTACACAGTTTATACAATTTGTAATTTAACATGTGTAATATAAAAATAAGAAGATGTGGTGTGATTGCTAATGAGATAACTCTCCAGCAGAGACCAAATGACATAGAACTTAACAACTATAGGTCACCGTACGGCCTTCAACAATAAGCAAAACCCATACCACATAGTAAGCTATAAACGGCCCCGAAATGAAGAATATATAACAATTCAGACAAGAAAATGAATGACGTGATTTATGTACAAAAAAATTACTATGATATACAGCAAAAAACGACAACCACTGACTAACATAAGTTTAGTTGCGATGCACTATTACATTTCAGTCATTTATGAATTTTAAATTAGTTAAAATTTCACCACAATGTTAAAAGAAACAAATGCAAAAGACAATTTTGACAAAAGAAAAAACCGAAAGGGCCATATAAATCATTAGTCTATGGACAAATGAATTCATGGCCAAAATAATTAAGACGAAAACAGCAGTCAAATACACGAAATAGAAAACTAGAGATTGTGGAACACAAAGACTACCACTGACTTGGGGGTTAAAATACAATTATTATATATAAAGAAATATTTTGTTTGCAATGCAGCAGAATGTCTTGTCATCTGTTATATGCAAGCGGGGGCATCAACCTCCATTTATTTAATAAAAATGATACCAGCAATTGTAACGGTAGCACTTAAATAGGTCTTGCCTATTTGGCAACTCTTTATTGTCTCAATACTCTTCTTGTCCAGTTTACCTAAAATTTAATACTAGTGTATTGGGTTCTGTTTTTGTGTATGTATTGGTGGGGGGGGGGGGGGGAATTCATTTGCATACTATTAAAGCTACTGTCTTTTGGTGTGCATAAAATGCATTCATGAATATTACACACACCTATTTTGGCCTTTGAAACTTGAGAAAAAATTACTTCTTTTGCATAACACTCAGGGACTTTCTTGAAAATCCCAACTTGAAACTCAATAATATGTCCATCGAAAAGTGATTTTACACAAATATTAAGAATTGTTAGGTATAATAAATTTTAAGATTAAAACTAAAGATAGATCTGTTATCAAGATTCTCAAAACTTATTACTGAACATGAATTATTTTCCTCAGTAAATATGTTGTTTAAAAATCTTTCATTAAGAATATACATGGCACTGATTCACATTTATGCATTTATACATTTTCTAACTGAATTATCATTGTGAAGTATATATGTACATATATCATTGGACCAGGTCATTAAAATTTTTAAGCAAATAAAGTCACATGTAGGAAGAAATAACTGATCTTTTCTACATACAGTGCGGTATTGATATTTTTATATTTATACATTCTTGTCTTCCATATTTATTTTTAGAATGCTATGTCATCAAATTTTTAACATCGAATTATAAATTAGATTTGTATTTATATTTTACAAAATATACAAATTATGTATAAAAATAATGTCATTATTTCAATATATATGTAAACCAATGAATTGATAAAAAGACTGAAATGATGATGTTGTTGAGTTGTGTAACCCCCTAAAATTAGTTTCATGTGGTTGTCTCTTGAATCACATGCTCATTTTGTTTTCTGATTTTTTGCACCTCCTATGTGGAAGAGTTAGTAAATGAGTGTTGTTGGTTCAAAATTTACAATGAAAAATTAATGAGTGAAGTTAGGGATTTCGAAATTATGTGGCAAGAAATATACCTTGTTGGATAAAATAATATGATGCTCACCTTTAGCTCTTATTCATTAATCAGTCTACAATCATACTGAAATAGACCATTACAACATTACTTCACAAGTACATTGTATAAATCTCAGTAGACTCTGTTAAATCATGGAATGGGCAAGAGTCTCTACACACACTTGAGAAACAAAATAAATGCACATATTTGTTGTTCATCGCACAGTGAGGGTTCAAATGCTAAGCAAAAGCTATCACCTCTCTGTAAGTTCAAACTGTCATCAGCACTGGTTTCAGTGGAATATTTAGCTCTACATCAAATTACACCTATCCTAGGTAAAAACAACAAATTGTAGGCTATAAATGGCAAAGAAGTCCGTCAAATACAAATGTATCATCATAATTTGCTTGACAGTCTTATTATAAATTACAGAGACAATACAAATATTAGACAACCATGATCACACTAAGATAGTTGTTAAGGTAATTACATATTTTAATTGGGCCAAATAATTTCACTACATAAGATTTTGGTTTCTCATTTACAATCCATGTTCAATGGTTGGTGGTTAAATTGCCAAGAAGGAAATCCCAAGGATGATATAAGGCTGTTCAAATGAGTGAGAAGTGATTTGATTGTAAAATTGGACCTTTGAAACATTTTGGTAAAAAAAATTCCAAATGGAAAATAAATATTTTCTATATTTCTATGCTGTCAGGAAATTTTGAACAGAGTGACTTCATATTTGTTCAGCAGCCTGACAGTAGCGAGTTGTAATGTGTGAGCACTTTTCCAATCTGTCAGACATCTTGTTCCTGTTTTTTAAGTCATTGAAAATGCCAATTGACTTCCAAGGTATGAAACATTCTGCAGTAGTATTGGGTAGTAGTATGTTGGAAATAATCATATTGATAATATGTATCAATGAGAATATGATCTCTATGTTACATTAGCAGCACAGACCTAGGGTATGCATTGTTGAAGCATGTTTGTGACCTTAACCTTCAAAAGTAGAAGTTTATTCACAACAAGCTATAATAGTGCTGAACTAAAATCAACATATAATTTAAGATGCACAGTGGTAACAATTTGTAAACATAAAACTATAGTCTACTATACTAAACCAAGATTGTGACAGCCCTTCCAGCCAGAAATTTTCCAAGATAATAACAGATAGATGAATTTGAATACACATCACACAGTATGGCATGCTCACATATAGTCTTGATACCAAAATTCAGGAAGCTTTGATTTTTAGTTCCTGAGAAAAATGATGGAAATTTCATGAGTAGGACAGACAGACAGATGGGTAAAACAGGTCATTTCTGGGGTATTATAACAAGTATATTAAGCACACACAATTAACTCAAGGTAGCACTATAATTGTAGACAGAAACATGTAAACTATGTTTGACATGTAGTTTCATACTTGTTCATGGCAGAAATTAAAGACCTGCTCTGTCATCATTATGGCAGACAGCTAACTACTGAAAAAATGAGTCCGTGTGTGCTTTTAGTTCTTACAATAAATTTATTATGAATACTTATTATTTCCATGGCAGAAATGAAAAAATGTTTAAGCACTTTTACAATGTATAATATTAAGATGCACACCACCTACCAATGGCGGATCCAGAAAATTTCACAAGGGAGGGGGACCCACTGACTGCCTAAGAGGGGCCCGCTCCAGTCATGATTCAGTGATTCCCTAAATAATCAACCAAATTTTTCCCACAAAAGGGGGGCCTAGGCCCCCTGGTATAAACCCTCTAAATCCGCCTCTGCCTACCCTTGACCCCCATTCTTATCCACGTTCAATTTTCACTTTCAAACATTTATGTGGAGCAGGATTAATATACCATTATTTTATACACATCAGACCATACTGGTTATCGTAACTTTGGATACACCAAACCAGGTACTCCATATCTGAGAAACAGGCAATATATGCCCTCATTTTTAGAATTCATTCATACATTTTTGTACTTTTCAAAATTATCAGTTAAAAGTGTTCTACAAGGACCACCAGTCCTTCACCTTTCATCTGATACCTAAATTACCAAAATATATTATACATTATTTGATATTTACACCCATATGTAGGAACTATTTGTTTTAAATATGTACTACTTTCCAGTATGTTCTTTTTTGACCGGACCAAATTTGGTGGTATTACATCTTACAAAGTCTATCTGAATTATTTTTGCAAAGAACTCCCCCAAGTTGGTGCTTAAGGATCCATCTTGAACTTGCAGTGATGTGTCAAGGATGGATACCCCATATCCTTTGTTTTTCTATCGGATGACAAGGACAAGTCGTCCTATTGTTTTACTTGATGGAGAGGTCTCTATCCACATTCAGCCTGAAGGAAGATTTTCAATCAATTAGATGCTTCTTCAGCATTTATTTGTATGGATGTCAAGCATTTGTGAAATTTAGAAAAAAGGCAGTAAATTTCCATACAAAATCCTCATTTGCATTCTTTAAATATCTAATTCTTTTGCAGATATTTGGAATTTTAATTTTCCAATTTGAGAAATTGCACTAGAGTGCATCATTCAATAGAATTTAGTGGTACTTTTGCTCACTGATAACATCGTAATTTAGAACTATAGGGTCTCATTGATAGAAGGTAAAGAGAGAGCTACAATGAAAAGTTTTAGTCAATAAAAATGACACAATTCGTCCTGCAGGCTCATGGTTTATTTTTCATAAACTAATGATTTGGTCCTAGTTTTATTTTTTGTCTCTAGTATGCAAGACATAGGTATTACTATCCTGCAGCAGCATAAACTATTTGTATAAAGCTTTATAATTCAGAATGTTGAAGACCTGGATGCTTCATACCTTGTATGTAGATACCTTATGTTACGAAGTTTCCGTCTGACATATGTCCATTGTCCTTGACTTCATTTTCATGGTTCATTTACTGCTTGAAATTTTTTTAAAGTTTTTTTGTCATGTGAATTTCTCACTTATTATGAGTAATAGGATAACAATATTTAGTATATGGGTTTCTTGCAACATCTACATGTCCGTCAGACAGGGTTCACCTGACCTCGACCTCAGGAGGTCAACTATATGTGGTGTATGGAATGATTGTAAGGGTACATGTCAGTCTGGCAGGTTTCATCTGACCTTGACCTCATTTTCATGGTTCATTGGTCAATGTTAAGTTTTTAAGTTTGTGTTTTGGTCGGTTTTTCAAGGACAATAAGCAATAAGTCAACTTTATTTGGTGTATGGAATGATTGGAAGAAGTACATGTAGGTCTAGCTGGTATCATCTGACCATGACCTCATTTTCATGGTTCATTGATCAGTGTTTTTATGTTTTGATCTGTTTTTTCAAATACTTATAGCAATAGATCAACTATATTTGAATTTCTCACTTATTATGAGTAATAGGATAACAATATTTGATATATTTGTTTCTTGCAATGTCTACATATCCGTCAGACAGAGTTCACCTGACCTTGACCTCATTTCATTGACCAGTGATCAAGGTTAAAGTTACATGATTAGGTCTGTTTTTCAGATACTATAAGCAGTAGGTAAACTATATGTGGTGTAACAGTATGGAATGATTATAAGGGTACATGTCAGTCTGGCAGGTTTCATCTGACCTTGACCACATTTTCATTGTTCATTGGTCAGTGTTAAGTTGTTATGTTTTTGATCTGTTTTTCAAATACTTATACCAATAGATCAGCTATATTTGGTGTATGGAATAATTGTCAAGTGTACATGTCTGTCTAGCAGATATCATCTGACCTTGACCTCATTTTCATGGTTCATTGGTCAATAATTAGTTTTTGTGTTTTTCAATTACCTTAAGCAATAGATCAACTATATTTGCTGTATAGAATATATTGTTAGGTGTACATGTCTGTCTGATAGGATTTATCTGACCTTGACCTCATTGTCATGGATCTTTAAAAATGTTAAGTTTATATGATACTTTTAGTTAAACCTTTATCTTTAAGACTTTAAACATAAAATCAATGGTCAGTAAAGCAGGGGAGACATTTCAGCGTGTGCACTCTTGTTTGTGATTTCCAATAAAAATAACTGTAACACAGTATAAATCAACAACAAACTTGGGTGCTTTCAGTCAGGATTCTACTTCGTCAAAATTATCTCCCCATTACGCCAGTCAATTTTTACAATCGTAATAAAATGCTCTGCTGGGCGCAGCTTGATACGACCGTAGAGGTCGAACCCTGAACAGTTGGGGCAAGTATGGACACAACATTCAAGCTTGATACAGCACTGAATTTGGATTGTGATTCAATATTTGACACAGCATAGGTTTCTGACACAGAATGAATGTGGTCTAAAAACTTAAAAAATTTTAATTTACCTATTCAAACCATATCATTATTATTTGCTTTTATATATAAATCAGAAATAACCAATTTAAAATGGAAAATTTTAAAGAAAAAAAAGGAAAAAAAAAAAATCCCCCCCCCACAAATTTTTTGAACACCCTTATGATTCATCACCCCCAAACTCAATCCCAGCCTTCCCTTTGTGGTATGGTATCTTGCAGTACAATTTCAAAGAGATCCATACACTTGAACACAAGTTATTGTCTGGAAACTAGAAAAATGCTTGTTTTTTGGTCCAAAATTCCTAGCTGTTTAGGGCAATTACCCCCAAACTCAATTCCAGCTTTCCCTTTGTGATATGGAACCTTGTGGTACAATTTCATAAAGATCCATACACTTACACACAAGTTATTGTCCTGAAACTAGGAAAATGCTTGTTTTTTTTGCCCCTTTTTTGCCCCTAATTCCTAAAATTTTGAGGCAATTACCCCAAAAATCAATCCCAGCCTTCCCTTTGTGGTATGGTACCTTGTGGTACAATTTCAGAGAGATCCATACACTTGAACACAAGTTATTGTCTGGAAACTAGAAAAATGCTTATTTTTGGCCCCTTTTTGGCCCCTTATTCCTAAACGTTTTGGGCAATTACCCCCAAACTCAATTCCAGCTTTCCCTTTGTGATATGGAACCTTGTAGTACAATTTCAAAAAGATCCATACACTTACACACAAGTTATTGTCATGAAACTAGAAAAAATGCTTGTTTTTTGCCCCTTTTTTGGCCCCTATTTCCTTAAATTTGGAGGCAATTACCCCCAAAATCAACCCCTGCATTCCCTTTGTGATATGGAACCTTGTGGTACAATGTCAGAGACTTTTAAAAAAATTCTAATTAAATATTTCGTGGAAGGGCAGACTAAAATTTTTCAGAGGTTTAAGACTAATAACCATAGATAACACACACAAAAAATGAAGTTTTTTTGAAGATATGCATTTTTAAGATCCAACTGTAAAGTCGGTCGTCAAGTACATTTCGTTAAAAATTGTTATTCGAACACACCTACTCTGTTATGACTCATTAGAAAGATATTTCACTTGACTCATATATTTCATTCTTTAGTACTGTGAATTTTTAATGTTATCCTATCAACATGTAGCCTTAATATATAAAAATAATAGAATCTGAAGCGAGATGATGTTTCAAATATTTTTGCTTTCTACGTTTTCAAGACAGAATAGTCAACTAAAACACGCCCGAACATGAAAAGGTGCACTCGACTTTCTCTTTTCGGTGTAATTATTGCCCATTTTGGGAATTTTTTCCCAAAAAACTATCGCCCGGGGCAGAGGTGCAAATCAATGCTTCACAAAGATCAATCTATTTTCTATCTATGGAATTTTTACCGGCGGAATTGATGCCTATGCACAAAAAAGATCCAACTGGATTTGAACCTGCAATAATCGACTGTTTTATAAAAATTTGTCTTTAATTTCAAAGTTTACAAATATCTGGAAGCTCTTTACTACAATTCAAGTAAAAACATGTATATAAGATGCAAAAATCCTAAATTATGCAACTTTATTAAACTTTTCAAGCCCATAGAAACAGAAGTAAACAATTCAAATATACCAATTTGGCTTTTTTACCTTCTCTAACAAAGAGTTCCATTTCTTTTGTTTAATTTCAACTGGGTTTCCGCCTGTTTATTAATAACAAAACTTCATTATATTTGCTCATCTGAGCATTTATTCAGTAAAAATATGTTTTTAAATTTGGTTCCAATAGTGAAATGACAATAATGAAACAGACTATGAAATAAACTCTTTTGTAGGCATATATATAAATGACAATGACATGTAATGTACTTTTTGAAACAATGATGAAATGATGTGCACAATTGTACATTACAATTAATTTCAGTGCTAAATATAATTTTATTGTCATTTTCACAGTTAAATTCTTAAGTGAAAAAACATATAAGTATTCAAATCAAATTCTGAATAGTTTTAAGAAAACATATATTGAGATTTTAATTTGTTAGGTGGAGTTTACACGCCACTTTCAGCGACCTTGGCTTCATCATGGCAGCCGCTTTTTAATGTAGAGAAAGCTGGTGTTACCAGGAACAAGTACTGACCTATTGCAGGAAAACTGGCAATCCTGGTCACATAATCTGTGTTGAACACACCTTGGCACTAGCAAGGTTCAACCTCATGTTAGAATATCCCCCTCCCCCCAAAAAAGGGAAGAATTACAATAAATACTATTTTTTTTATCTAATGCACCAGTATTGCATATATCCATGTCATTTGGACTCTGTTGGATAGTTACTCATTAGCAATCATACCACATATCCTTATTTTATATTGTTCATCTGGATGTATGCCCATTGTTAACAATGCTCTCTCCAGTCCTATAAAACCTATTCAATTGAGTTTTTAGTCAAATTGTCTACTTGTGTTGCTGTCAAGAAAATGGGGTAATCAACCATAGCTCTTAAAGGGATCTAAGTTTGATAACAAATGGTCCATTACAGGATTTTTCTTTTATTCAACCCTTATGTGCTATTTTTTTAGCTGTAACAGCCATGTTGGTTTGATGATGGAGTCATCAGACATAACTTTAAAGACACCATTTGGTGTGCTAAAAATTAAAAAGAAATATTTCTACATATTCTATATAATTATGTGAAAAAATTAATGAACTGGTGTAAAATAGAAATATTTATGCTGTATCTATGGGTTGTGTGTGACCTAAGAGCTGTGTTGAAGTAACCAATTACAAACCACACATACAATATCATATGATGTTTGTACTCACTGTCAATTAAAACAAGTCAATCAAAATTTAGGATATTTTCAAGGTACAATCACCTGAATTCAGCTATACAGAAATATATCTATATATCAATAGAAACAAGGCAGACATGGTTGTAAGGAGATCTCTAATTTTTCATATCTTTGTCTCATTGGTAAACATACCACATCTCTTTATTTTTTTATATGTGGTTTTGTAATAGTATCTTCAAACATTTATCACATTTATTTTGTCCATCATCTAAAAATGTGCATCACCGAAAATATAGAACTTGTCCCTAAAATTCCCAGAAAGCACCATACCATATAAATTGTAAATCATAATGCCCAATTCAAATTATGCTCATATTATAAAGATTCTGGTAAAGATTGATTGTTGGTTGCTTAACATCCAGTGGCAAATATTTCATGAATTTCAAGACGATTCTGATGTAGAAAAAGATTTTTTTTTCTCAATTACTATTCACTATAAAAGTGTGTATTTTTTATTGATTTAATTTCCCCTAATTATTTATTATTATTCAATGTATATTGTAAATATACAAATAATCATGACAAACAAAATTGTTTTTGTTACGGCTATACCTCTCAGTTAAAGATTTATTTTACACCCTGCTTTGTTATCTAGGTAATATTACTTCTTCTACCCATTATAATATCAATTTCATAAATAAATCAAAGCTGTGGAAATTGTGAAGCATCAATTTGTTCATAAAAATACATGAGAATGTATAAAATTCTGTTGCTAATATAAATTTTTTGTAATTCACTTTCCCTGATGAGATTTTTAAAATACACATTTCTACTACTGAACATATTCTAATTTCTAAAAGTATATTGACATAAGGAAGATAAAAGTATCTTACTATTATTTCAATACACTAATAGAAAAACCTTTCAATTTCTTATAAATGCAGGAGACAGTATAGCCCTAACAAAACGGCACCTCCGCACCAAAATGTTAAAACAAATAATTGGAGTTACACAACCTAATATCCTTCGATGAGAATTTGACATAAAATAATAGGACGATACATGAATATTCTACAATGCAATTTTTGCAATATATTTAACAACCTTTTAACCGGTATTCTGAAAACGACCCATAATGTCATTCATGATTTAGTACATTTTATGTTCCTATACAGAAATGAGCATATACAACAATACAAGATCATCATAGCTATATAAATTCTTCATACATATATTCTATCATCCACAAAAAAAATTAATCAAGTTAGTTTAAATATATTTTTCATGATTACCTATTCTGACAGAGAGTTCACATTTAATTTAAATATAATTTTCTTCACAATTATCTTGTAATTAGAGAAATCTCTGCATGATTAAGAAAATCGTTACATAGTGACTTGCAAGTTATGTAAATTTTATATCCCTTATAGGGCATTATATAAAATATCATTCTAGGTATAGAGGCTATGTTAACTTTATATCCCTGTTAAGTCCCTAAAGATTTCATCCTAGGTAAAATCCTTTACTCGTCTGTTGCAAACTTTTCCGAAACTGCTGGGAGAACTTTTAATAAAATCTGAAAATGTCAAAGTTCGGAAATGTTTATTCTTCATTTTGGTAATTTACATGAGACTGGTCTTTAAAACTGCTGAATCAGTACAATATTAACAAATGGGCACAATTTTCAATCGTATTGCGTCAATAGTCAGTTTGATTTTAAACATGCAATATCAATATAAAGCATATACCTAAAAGAGAAATCATAATGGAATCATACATAGGGTTTCTCTCAAGTTATTAAATTGTTATATTTTTGTTAAATTTTATAAAAAAAAGAGTTATATAAGAATAAACTGCACTAAGATTATTAAAGGGTGACTCAGAATATCTTATAAAAAGTCCAACTTGGAATACCCAAAAGTGGTCAACGGCTCAACAAGGTTTGAACACCTTTCTATACTTGTCAACCACTGAGAGAGAAAAATCCAAATTTCCCCTAAAATTTGGTCTTAACATTCAAAAGAACTTTTGTGACTGGCTTTATATTTAACAACACAAATTGTATCATAAAGCTGGATCAGACCAGCAAATGAGCAAATCCAAAACGAAATATTTCATCTTTCTTTGACAGGGACTACATCCTCCTACTTCAATCCAAATTTACAAATCACAATTGATAACAGTTGGCATTTATTATTTAGCCTCTTTTCATGACATGACAGGCAATTAGATTCACATTGGTCAAGGGTTGAAATCCTGAGTATATCATGTAGCGTGAATTCATATGCAGGTCTCCAAAATGCTTCATAAGAAAATGTATTTTGTGCTTTACTGATTTATCAATGACTAAGATGACCATATTCCATTAACATATACATTAATTGTATATTGAAACAGACAAACAAAAGTAATTTCATGGTGTTAGTACTTTCCTCATAGCACTAGTTTCAATACATTTAGTTATCAAATGTAATAAGAATTTTCTTCAAATTGATCAAGCAGCATTGCATGATAATAATACAATGTTCAATTTTCAATCTATTTCTTTTTATTTACTACAATATAAGTACTGATGCAATTAAATTTTAAAGCCCAACACAGAATTTTAGATTATTTGAGAAAAAAGATGTGTGCCTACTAATTAATCATTAATGCAGACCTTCCACATAAAATGTTTATAATTTGAAGGTAAAGAAAATAGAAGAGGAGTAAAAGTTTCAACTGATTTTGCTTTAATTCATGACATCTGATTGTCTTATGAAAGATGATAGTTTATCTGTGCTCAAAGCTTCAATTTCTGTACATTTTGTGAATAGAAATGTAAGTATAACAGATGTAGATGATAAAAATTTGTAAACAATCTCGATGTAAATACACTAAACATCAATAGTTCTTCATTATAAAATATGATTATTTTCTTAATAACAAAATTGGGTTTTTTTACATCAATATAAAATTTTGACTACATAAAATGAAAACCATTTATAAAATTTTGTTCATGAATCACAATTAATACTAAGCCATTATATCACAAGCAAAAAAATGAGAATTTACAACAATATTTACAATATAAGTATTAATATATAATCTACATATCTTAGTATGAACAAATGATATAGTTTTAAGACCAGTATTTGAGCACTGTCTGATAGTAATTTACACAGAAGTAACAATTTTTACACATTTATAACAAATGATTGCACATTGTATAATAATAGGGTAAAATATAAATCTTAAAACAAAACAAAGGACGTCTCATCTAGATTCTGTCATAACTAGTCCATTCAGAACATTAAGATTTGCACCATTAAAAGAATAAAGAAGAGAAACTGAATTTTCTCAAGTCCTGATCCCATTTCTATAAAACATCATACGACTTACAACAAGTTGCAATTTCTTGATAAACTATATGAATCTATTTGTATTTTTTTTTTCAAAAGAAAGAGAATAACTGTTGTCTGTTTATTAAATTAAATTCACTGTAATTCAAATACATGCTAATTATTATTTTTCCATACAACATTGAAAAACAGTGTTTTAACATTCAGTTTTGTGTGGCTGGTCATTGATAAGATTAAGTAACACATGCTTGATAATCCATATAAGTAGGTCCTCATGCATGTCAGGCATCTGTTGTCATTGTATTAAATCAATTTTCACCAGACTGCTGGTACCTTCTCTAATTCATGGATTGAGCTGATAAGGTAAAACAATGTTAAAAACTACCATCTTATCTTGGAATGAATCTTTTATTTAAGGTATATAGCATAGACATAAGTACCTTAGCTGCCTGAATGAGTAACTGAATACAATTATTGTATATTACTTAAAATTTTCATTCATTTCAGCTTTTCTTTGTTTGAGTAGAGCATAAACTCATTAAATCTTTAAAATCTACAACACTGAAACAACTGAAAGTAAGCACTTTAGAAGAAAACAACGAGTTCATCTTAAAAAGGAAAAATAAAATTTTTGATTAAAAAAAAAGAAGAAAAAAAGCAATAACATATCTTGCTTAAATCAACAAACATAACAAGAAGAGGTAACAGTCATTCATAAACATCTTAGTTTCAGTATTTTATGTAAAACTGGAAATGGCAAATGAATTAAGTTAGAATGTGAACAGGTATAAATCTGGCTATTATGACCATAAAGAAGTTTTATGTAATTAAGAGGTATTTGATGCAAAACTGAGATCTGGAAGATTGCTGAATGGACTCCCTCAAACATTACATTAAAACAATCAAATTCTATTTACAACATCACAGATTCTTTCTTCTTTAGAAGTCACGACTAATAAGCTGCCTTATAAATACAAATATATTTCTGCCTTCTAAGAAAGCCCTAATACAGAATATAGTTAAGCACCAATCGTCACCCATTAGGTGTCACCCATTAGGTGACATTTTAGGCATGATATTGTCTAACACTGGTACTGGAACTGGTTTCTTGTTCACTGGTTTTTTATCAGATTCATTCATTCGATGACTCTTCATATGAGCACTTCTACTACGTACTTTTGCAAAAACCCTGAAAAGAATTGAAGATTACAAAAATGAATCTCTACTTCGTCTTATATAAATTTTGTACACATTACCAATTAAGTTAAAACATTTATGGATTTTTTGCACTTGTCACTGTGACCTATTTTACCAGTGCTCCCAATTAAAACTACCTAAGAATTAACTTCCACTAAATAGATCTATATAAAACTGAATCTATACGTCCCATTATCTATGACTTTAATATCTTTCTCAGTGGTTTAAAACTTAGAAAATAAAAGAAGAATGTGTCTATGTTCCCCATGTCACAAATAAACAAATATCTTTTTCACAGTTATTAATGGCATAGAATATTTTGCTATCTTAAGTTTCCTCATGTATTAAAGAAAGATGGTGTGTTAAATACAGATGACAACACTTCAAATGAGCAAGACAGTATTAACTGTTTATGAAAATTATATTGTAATATATAACTTTTAAACATAAACATTGCAACCTAAATAAATGTGCATTTCATTAAAAATCACTTTCTTAGATATTAGTAGGATATACTGTAACATGGTTTCATGTCGTCAATAAACATAGTCTAATGGATCACTAACCTGCCACAAAGTTTACATGGGAAGCCCTCTCCATTCAGATCCTCTGAACTTGCAGGTGATCCTTGTGGTTTAGGAAGTCTTGCTGCTGGAGGTCTGTATTCTCTAGCAGGGGAACTGCTTTTTGAACCTCCCCCATGTACTCTTATATGACCATTTAATGCTTGCTTGGAATTAAACGACTAAAACATAAAAATCAAACTGAACTTTTAAATAATGAAATACTTTTCAAAATTCATTTTATGTTCCAGACATTTACCATTCCGAAAGACATCAGCTGACTACCTTTTTCCCCCTGGAGAAACTGATGTACTTGAGTTTGTAATTATGTTCTGTTGACCTACTTTAAACAGAATGATACTTCTTTTTCAAAAGTTACTATTAGATGACATTGAGGACAAACCAAGACTGTGCAGCTAACTTTTTTTTTAATACTTTTGTAGTAACACAGAGTACATGTATGTAGTTTAACTTGGATTTATCTGTATTCTTGCCTTAAAACCTATCAAAATTACATTCTATTAACAGAAACACTATCAGTCTGTGATTTAAAATATACTTTCAAGAACAAAAATATTTAAATAAATAATATTTTGGTTTAATCACCAGTTTATGTATGGAATTTGAACTGTATCAGCATTGTCATACAACTTACTACTTTTAATAACAGTTTTATTTGTAAGAAGAACTAAAAAACAGACATATCAGTTCTGTAAAGCATGTAACCAACAAAAATTACGTCTGTGCTGTTCTGTGTCAAGTCTGTATCATTTAATACATATTTTTGGCTATAAGACATGCATGGTAAACAATTTTACTTACAGCATTGCATTCTGGGTAATCACATGTAAACATAGGAGCAGGCGATGTAGCTACAGAAGCTGGGGATGATGTAACTACAGACTTTACAGACTTTGTAGATTTTACAGATGAGGTATCATCCTCTTTATTATTTAACTACAATATAAAAGATGATGTATCAGTGAAATGCCACATTCCAAATTTGTTTGGTAAAATAGAAAAAATAAAATGAAATAAAGAAATCAACACATGATGATAAACTATGAACATTGCAATTGAATATGGCAAAATAAATAGATTTTAGGTTATCTGACCACAAGCTTATTGATTTTGACTGTTTTTTTCATTGTGGATCTTAACTTTATTTTGAATCTTCTAAACTACATCTCTTTTATCTATTACAACTTCATGTTTACATGTCTGAACTTTTGTGTCCTACTCAATGGTAGCATTGTGTTCTGACTTTTTTGTATGTATTTTATTTGATGAATAGGATGATAAACATTACACAGAAAATCTATAACAATGAAAACACATTTTTTTTGCTTTAATCAAATTCTCAGAATAAAAAAAAAGAAAAATGAATTAAAAACATATGTCAGTATAAAAACAGACATAGAAGATATTTTTCGTTTTAAGTGGTTATATAACCTTTCTGCTTAATAGATTTTAACAGACGAGGGAATATTAATAAATGAGTCATGAAATAAGCGATAAAGAAACTATAAAATTTATTAACCAATTACACCCCCAAAAAAGGTCAGAAATACCAGTCATTTATTTCATGATGGTATCCTGGAATAAGACGCTTTTAATATTATTCAATGCTAGTAGGATATACCATTATGTCAGTAGTATCCTCCATGTCAGTAGAACTACTAGAGTCTTCATCGAAATCGTTTATCTCCATCTCATTTTCTGGCTGCTCTGGAAGTGTTGCCGGCTGCTGTTGTTGCTGCTGGGATCTTAAGTTGTACAATCTTTCACGTTCTCTTTTATTACGAATAATACGCAGACGTTTGTGTTCATCTGGACACACTTTCTTCCATAAATAATAAAACTGAATACATTCTTTCACAGATTTACTTCCAATCTACAAAGTAAAATTTGGTTAAGATATACCAGACCATGTAAACTGATATTTTGATTTCAATTTTTTAATAATTACTTGATACTGATATCATGCTATTATGATTTATGAACAGAAACTGCAATTTTGGTAGTTCCTTTGCACACCTATATTACTACTTACTGTGGATTCATTTTATTTCGTAGGTACCAATTTTTACGCGGATTGAGGAAAATTTAATACATTTTTGTGGATATCTGATTTCACGGTTTTGCAAATGTCTACAATGCATACAAGCCTTTAGAAAATTTGTAATCCATTGAATATTTAAATTCATGGTTCACCTGTACCTACGAATTCTATGAAAATTGGTATCCCAAGAATAATAAAGAATCCACAGTATATGTTTTTTTATTATGATAATAAAAAATAATTTAATTTTGGATGTAACGCATCTTCTGATTGGCTGACAGTGTTTTGTCTATCAGCTTATAGACATAATTTTGTCATGTGACCGTGACGTCATCAACGTTTTTTCATAACTTACTCCGGCTTAAAATGGAATTAAGAATTAAATTATAAGGAATGTAGCGGGTTATTGAGTGTGCACCACATTTTTGATGTTATTTCGAATAGACAGAAAAAATATTACAGTCATTCCTTAAATGGAAAAAATTACATTGATGGAAAATAACCAAATAGCTTTTCTCCAGTAACGAATAAACGGTATATAATATTGGTGTACTGAGTGAGCATAGCAACTTCCTGCAAATAACCAGAATACAGGCCAAAAAAAAATGTAATAAGTAGCAGCAACCATTCTAACTATTTTCTAGATCACTTGTTCACTTATTTTTGGGGTCAAAATCTGACAATTTTGGTAAATAATATATCAAATACTTACTTCTTTGGAAACAGAGAAGAAGTCTTTATCACATTTCAATAAAGCATTTAGGTATTTTTCAGCTTCCTCTGTGGTCCAAACATCATTTTCTGTGAAACAATTACAGTGAAATGAATTTTTATATGAGATTATTCCTGCTGACAGTCATAAAAACCAAGAGAAATCTCTATACTGACAATAGTATCTTTTGCTTTTTCTAAAAATCACTCTTTAATAAATAAATCAACAACATTGTACCTTTAGAACATTTCTGAACGAAAAAAAAAAATTTGTTCAAGATGCTTCCAAGCATAAATTATTTTAAAAATTCTAATGCTGTTAAATATAAATTCAAGTTTAAACACTCCAATTTCCTTTTCACTGAGAAAAAAAAGTCAGATTTCTCTTTTTTTTAAAAAGGGATTTATATATATATTGCAATAAATTATTCAGAAGGAGGTACATTCAGTTTAAATTACATTTCTGATTCTGTGAGCACTTAAGAGTTTTATCAAAATTCTCCCAACGTACTGCTTTTGTATATTTTATAAATAAATTCAAACCATTTGAATTTTAAGGGCATCTAATTTACATTACAAAGAAAGACAATGAATAAAGACAAAAATTTATTAAGAAATAGTTCCTTTTATGAAGTAAAAACAAAATTTTCTTGTCTGCAAGATTGTAATTGCGTAACTTCAAGGTCCATTTCCTGTCAGAACAAGAATGTGTCCATAGTACACGGATGCCCCACTCGCACTATCATTTTCTATGTTCAGTGGACTGTGAAATTGGAGTCAAAACTCTAATTTGGCATTAAAATTAGAACAATCATATCATAGGGAACATGTGTACTAAGTTTCAAGTTGATTGGACTTCAACTTCATCAAAAACTTTAACCTGAAGCAGGACAGACTATCGTAGGTGGGGCATAAAAACATTGAAAATTCCGATTGTGCATGGTTTTGACAAAATTTTCCTGAATATTCTTACCCTATTTGTCAATTTATTTTTATATCAGATATTCGATTACACGATAAAATCAACATTAAACATATAGGGAAGGGTTTGGTGTTTTGAAATAATATTACAATAGCCAATATATTTGTTTAGCTGATATCCGATTAGGTGGAGTCTACTGTACTTAGAATAAATCTCCCAATATAAATTGTATATGACAATATATTTATACCTTGATATGTAAAAGATAGTAATGTATGGTGAGCAGGCAATTCCTTAGAAGTTTCCATTAACATCAGCATGGCTTTCTACAGAAAAAAAAACATATACTGTAAATTAAGAAGTTTTTGCATGCATTTATTATAGCCAATGTTGAATAATTGACAAAAGATAAAATAAAGCCATTTCAGAAAATTTAGAATGAACGTTTTTATGTTTGTGAAACCTATCCCATCACCACTTTCATAATAAAAACATTACAAAGATATCTGAATTTACTGTATACAATAAAGCATTCAACATATCTCTATGCTTACCAGAGTATTTATTTTAAAGAAAAAAATATCAACTATTAAATATGAATAATGCTGTTCCATTAAATTTATGTTGAAAGTGTATTGGTTGAGGAGGATTTATCTTCCTACCCTTCAACATCCATTTTAATGGAATAGCAGGTCTTTCTTGCAACTGTTTATTTTTGAATTTTTATTTAATTATAATCTACTATTGTTATCACCATTACCAACAATGAAAAGGAGAAAAGATACATTTGATTTTGTCTACATTTCATAAAAAATATGGTTTTCAAAATTTTCAATTTTTGTTATTCATCATAGACAGAAAATGGTATTGTTACTATACATTTTGAAAGTCATTATTTTCATGTTTTCTATTAATATTCCCTTTTCAAGTTTTAAAGTGCAGAGTGTGCCTTTTCTTAAATGTTGACTTAGATAATTGTATTGTATTTTAGGCTTGGCCCTCATAAAATGTAGATTTTACTGTAGCAAATTGAGTTTACCTAGCGATGTGTAGCGGAGCTAGGTAAACGAAAATTTGTGACAGTAAATCCAAGTTTACCAATGCCAAGCTTAAAATACAATACAGTTATCTCCATTTTGATGCCACAATTTGAAATAAATTCCATTTTAGTAAATAATTTGACTTAAAAATGATACAGCACTGAATTTGGATTGTGATTAAATATTTGACACAGCATAGGTTTCTGACACAGAATGAATGTGGTCTAAGAACTTAAAATTTTTTAATTTACCTATTTAAACCATATCATTATTGTTTGCTTTTATATATAAATCAGAAATAACCAATTTAAAATGGAAAATTTTAAAGAAAAATAAAATGCTCCGCAGGGCGCAGCTTGATACGACAGCAGAGGTCGAACCCTGAACAGTTGGGGCAAGTATGGACACAACATTCAAGCTTGATACAGCTCTGAATTTGGATTGTGATTAAATATTTGACACAGCATAGGTTTCTGACACAGAATGAATGTGGTCTAAGAACTTAAAAATTTTGAATTGGACATTCACCTATTATGGTCCAATATCCAAAATCTAAATACATGGTTACATTCAGCATATCAAAGAACCCTAAGAATTCAATTTTTGATGAAATCAAACAAAGTTTAATTTTGGACCCTTTTGACCTCAATGTGGACAAAGTTGATAACGGGGCCCAAAAATCAAAAATCTAAATACATGGTTAGATTCAGCATATCAAAGAACCCCATATATTCAATTTTTGTTGAAATCAAACAAAGTTTAATTTTGGACCCCGATTTGGACCAACTTGAAAACTGGGCCCATAATCAAAAAGCTAAATACATGTTTAGATTCAGCATATCAAAGAACCCTAAAAATTCAATTTTTGTTAAAATCAAACTAAGTTTAATTTTGGACCCTTTGGACCTTAATGGTGACCAATTTGAAAACGGAACCAAAAATTAAGAATCTAAATACACGGTTAGATTCGGCATATCAAAGAACCCCAATAATTCAATTTTTGACAAAATCAAACAAAGTTAAATTTTGGACCCTTTGAACCTCAATGTGGACCAATTTAAAAACGGGGCCCAAAATCCAAAAACTTAATACACGGTTAGATTCAGCATATTAAAGAACCCCAAGAATTCAAGAATAAAACCCCATTGAAATTGATCAAGAAATAAGCAATTTATACGAAGTATCTTCTTTTGCACAATACTGTGCAATTGAATATTTCTTGCTATTGTGCAATACTGCACAATTGACAATTTCTTGCTATTGCGCAATATTGTGCTATTGGATATTTCTTGCTATTGCGCAATACTGTGCAATTGAAGATTTCTTGCTATTGTGCAATACTGTGCAATTGAAAATTTCTTGCTATTGCACAATACTTATTATATAATTATTTACACATCCTGTTTGGTGTGTATCTCCTACCATATCATTATTATTTGCTTTTAAATATAAATCAGAAATAACCAACTTAAAATGGAAAATTTTAAAAGAAAAAAAAAAATCCCCCCCCCAAATTTTTTGAACCCCTTATGATTCATCACCCCCAAACTCAATCCCAGCCTTCCCTTTGTGGTATGGTACCTTGCAGTACAATTTCAGAGAGATCCATACACTTGAACACAAGTTATTGTCTGGAAACTAGAAAAATGCTTATTTTTGGCCCCTTTTTGGCCCCCAATTCCTAAACGTTTCGGGCAATTACCCCCAAACTCAATTCCAGCTTTCCCTTTGTGATATGGAACCTTGTAGTACAATTTCAGAAATATCCAAACACTTACACACAAGTTATTGTCATGAAACTAGAAAAATGCTTGTTTTTTGCCCCTTTTTTGGCCCCTAATTCCTTAAATTTTGAGGCAATTACCCCCAAAATCAATTACAGCCTTCCCTTTGTGATATGGAACCTTGTGGTACAATGTCAGCGAGATCCTTACACTTACACACAAGTTATTGTCTGGAAGTTACAAAAATGATTATTTTTGGCCCCTAATTCCTGAACTGTTGGTACCATAACCCCCAAAATCAATCCCAACCTTCCTTTCGTGGTATTGAACCTTATGGTAAAATTTCATGGGGATCCATTCACTTAAACTAAAGTTAGAGTGCGAAAACCAATGTGTCTTCGGACGACGCAGGACAACGACGACGCCAACATCATACCAATATACGACCAAAAAATTTTTAATTTTTGCGGTCGTATAAAAAAAGGAAAAAAAAATCCCTCCCCCAAATTTTTTGAACCCCCTTCTGATTCATCATCCCCAAACTCAATGCCAGCCTTCTCTTTATGGTATGGTACCTTGCAGTACAATTTCAGAGAGATCCATACACTTGAACACAAGTTATTGTCTGGAAACTGGAAAAATGCTTGTTTTTAGGCCCCAAATTCCTAAACATTTAGGGCAATTACCCCCAAACTCAAACCCAGCTTTCCCTTTGTGATATGGAACCTTGTAGTACAATTTCATAAAGATCCATACACTTACACACAAGTTATTGTCCCGAAACTAGAAAAGTGCTTATTTTTTGCCCCTAATTCCTAAAATTTTGAGGTAATTACCCCCAAAGTCAATCCCAGCCTTCCCTTTGTGGTATGGTACCTTGCAGTACAATTTCAGAGAGATCCATACACTTCAACACAAGTTATTGTCTGGAAACTAGAAAAATGCTTATTTTTGGCCCCTTATTCCAGAACATTTTGGGCAATTACCCCCAAACTCAATTCCAGCTTTCCCTTTGTGATATGGAACCTTGTAGTACAATTTCAGAAAGATCCATACACTTACACACAAGTTATTGTCATGAAACTAGAAAAATGCTTGTTTTTTGCCCCTAATTCCTAAAATTTTGAGGCAATTACCCCCAAAATCAATCCCAGCATTCCCTTTGTGGTATCAAACCTTGTGGTACAATGTCAGAGATATCCATACACTTACACACAAGTTATGTCTGGAAGTTACAAAAATGCTTATTTTTGGCCCCTTATTCCTTAACTGTTGGTACCATAACCCCCAAAATCAATCCCAACCTTCCTTTTGTGGTATTGAACCTTATGGTAAAATTTCATAGAGATTCATTCACTTAAACTAAAGTTATCGTGCGATAACCAATGTGTCTTCGGACGACGACGACAACGTCATACCAATATACGACCACAAAATTTGTTTGCGGTCGTATAAAAAGTAAGTGAAACTTACATCGTCTTTGGCATATAAACAATGTGACGTCATAGGTATGCTCCAGTGGTCAAACATAAACACTAGACGTATTATTCTTCTGATACAATTCAGAACAATTCAAATATAATTTGACAAAAAGAAGATTTTGAGGCACAAAATGAGATTTTTTTTTGAGAAATTACATACATGGCTTTCCTTAATTCTGGACTGGTAGAAGGTGGAATCTCACCCTTCAAAATATTTGTCAATGTCCAATGAAAATTATCATTATTAATGAATTACATTAGCATAACAAATATTACATTGAAAACCAATGCTCTGAATGTAAGTACCTGTATATTGCCCTTTGCCAAGTGAAGTAAATGGAGAGCATATTCTGTATTACAACCATTACCCCTAACTGCTGCACTGTTAGCAAACTCTTGAAAATATTGCACTGAAAGTAAAAGTAAAGTAAATATTAAACTTTCTACAAAACTATAAGTATTGAGCAACTGATTTGAGTTTAAAAGTGTTGGAAGGTGCTTTTTCCACTCAAGAACTTAAACAGTATATTTTTTGATATAATCAGAAATTTTATGCATTATTGTGTGAAAATTGTTTTGAATCCAAATACCCCATTATCATTAATATTAGGTGCCTTCCAAACTGCCATCCCCATACAATGAATTTTAATATATAACATAATTCAGTTTATTAAATCATTTGAGCAAATCAGCCCTTAAACGGATAAATCAGCATGTGCAATACAATTGATGTCGCCCTGTTGATATAAATCACGAGTTTATATTGCTTTTCGGCCTGGTCCAATAACTAAAAAGACCATATTAGCCCATCGTCTTATACGAGACATTCACTTCTGGTTTCAATTTTTTTACACTTCGCCTAACTTTGGACCTATCATTAAGCATAAGATATATTCATTTCACATTTTGAAACTTAAAATAACATAAAAAAAAGTTAAATGATGTTCTGTGATTTGTAACGATTTGAAACACAAATATTCCACAGCCTTTCCAAGTAAAACTTTTATAATCACTGTTTCATTTCCTTTGATCAATCATCAGAACGACGATGACTGAAGAGTAAGAATGCTTAAAATGAATTGAATAAGTATAAATTAAGTATTTGGACGAGAAAATATAAATTTCATCCATAATGACAAAAATGCATCATGACTGCTGAAAGACAAATTCAAATATGAATTCCTGTATCTTCTTCAGAGTAAGTTTCTTAGTTTAATAGAAGAATTTGAATCATTTAAAAAAGTGTTATGAACTGGCTGTTTCTGTATACACCTTATCGCTATTTGTCCGCCATTAATGGACATCACACAAGTTCCCGTAAAATTTTGACGTCATAATAGAAAATGTCTGACGCCACAATGGAAAAGTGATTGTTGTATGACGTCAAAAGTTCGAGCGGGACAGATTCTCGGGTCAAGCGGGAATAGCGATAAGGTGTATTGGTCCTGTTATAGATTCTCTATCAGATGTATTGGCCCTGGAATCTACCGAGTCACAGGGCCAGTACACTAACCTCGCATCTATAACAGGGCCAGAAACAGTCAGTTAATAGCACTATAATATTATATCTCATTTAAAAACTGTATGAATTATGTTACCAATAATCCAGTAACAAAACACATTTATACAAAATAGAATGGAAGTACAAGAATGTATTTCACTACAGCACTATCATTTCGTTTATCATACATTTAAATCAATGGATTGATAGGTAGTTGTTTGCTTAATATCAAGCAGAAAATATTTCCTGTATTCAAGATAATTGTTACTAGTGGACTGCCTGTGATGACATTGCACTTTATTATATCATTAATCAAGCCTAACATTGTCCAACAACAGTAGTATTTGGTCATACTGATTTGACTGAATTAAGAATTTGGATGTAATTTCAAAACAGATCCAATTTGCTATGACAATAAATCCTTCTACTTCACTTACCTTCATTATCAGAACAGTCCTTAATTCTTTCATGATCAAACACCAAATCTTCTTTGGATACACAAGTTAATGCCTCTTTTTTACGACCTGTATGTACATGATATATTTTAAAATATCCAATATTATTGCCAATCGTCTAGAGACATGCTAAATTTTAAAAATCTATGATTCTTTGAGTCATTGTCTCATTGAATATTTCCTACATATTTGACTTTTAACAAGCCAGCAATTTATATCTTGTTTTTCATTTATCTCTCAAAATATTTAGGTAATGAAGGATGTTTGCTCCTCCGTTTCAAAATAAAAAGCTTTTAAAAAGACTGTAATAAATTGATAGAATATTAATAAGGGAACATAAAAAGTAGTATGATTTAAGTCTGTGTCCTTGTTTTTGAGATATAATCAGTTGAATATTTGGCAGGAAATGATTCTCTCTAGATCTTTCATACTTCTAACAATGGTACCTTTTCCCTTTCAAAAACTATGAAAAAATAACAAGGATTTTATAAGATTTTCAAAGATGACATTTTAAACTATATGTAATCAAATTATGGAAAGAAAAATTCTGAATATTTGGCAAAAATTCAAAAGCAAGAGTAGCGAACATCCTTAATATAAAGTATAACAGCTTGTGAACAAGAAATTCAATGACTTATTTAGAGAAAAAAACTTAATACCGTAATCGGGCTTGTATAGTTAGCACTGGTACATAGTCCACACCCCCTTCTCCCCACGAAATTTCAGGTGAAAAAACTTTTTGTAACTGTTAGAAAAGGTTTAATGAAACTCCGGTAATTTTAAATCGTGTGTGGTTGTTTGCGGTATTTTCTTGGAAAAACCTATTTTCCATCACCAAACAGAAGCTGAAACTGCTTGTAAATGGTTCTAAAATTCTTCACGCTGGTTAAAATAAGTCTAAATCATACAAAAAACAATTTAGAAACTTGTGTATGTTTAAACCGGAAGTTTGAAAAGCACGTGTAAAAAAAGATGAAAAAACCCGGTGAGAGTCCAAATCCGTACATAATAGAAATCACTATAATACAACTTTGAAAGTAAAACAGTTCCCTCCTTATGTAAAACAGTGTTTAATATATCTATCACATTAATATTTGAAGGGTCTTAATCTAATTCAAAACATATTTGTCAATAGGAAACACCAAAACGGAACGAATAATAACCGATTACGTTTTGTAGTTTACACATCGTAAGCTGGTTTACGGTTGTCTTTTATTACTTTTTTGTAAGATTTCATTCAAGTAGATACCAGTTTATATTTAGCAATGCATTGAAAAGAAACAAGAATTTTGTAATGAAGCATTTAATTTTTAAATTTATCAGTATTAATTTGATATTGAATAAAAATAAACTATTAATATGGATTGGGTAAAATTATTGGTTTGAAAAATGATGAGCCCCCTCTACAATGTCAATAACAAACATGGCGGAACGTAAACAAACCACATCGCGAAATTGAAATTTTCTCTCTTATTTCTTGCTTATTGTACTCTATAGTCTGCACCCCTGCTGTCAGGGTCAATTTTGGAGAATAAAACCGTGGACTATACAAGCCTTTTAATGTAATTGAATGAATTGATAAGTACTGTTGCAGGTGCCAAATGACATTCTGAATACAAACTTACAGTTAAATGGTGGAATCTCTGCTTGGTACTGAGATCCAATATTTACATGTCTACAATAAACATAGAATGTATGTGTATCTTAACAAGTAAATGATTTTCTTATAAACAAACTTGACTTATAATTACACTAAATCCAATGGAAGTTGGATGTTTACAGATTGATATTTCAGTCTAAGATACATGATTTTATTTATATTAGTTGTTATTAGTTTTGAACTAGATTTCAGTAGCTGTGAGTACTCTCAGATCTGTACTTTGTTTTGTATAGATCTGATGAGCCATTTTTAACTGATTTGTAGTTTGTTCTTATGCTGTGCTTTTACACCACTGTCCCAGGTTAGGGGAGGGTTGGCACACCTGCATAAGTGTTTAACTCCATCACATTCTGTATACGTCCAAAGTCAGAAGCCTGTAATTCTGTGGTTGTCTTTTGTTGCTGTATATCACATTTGCTTTTCATTATTGTTTTGTACATAAATTGTTTTACATTTGCTATTTTAGTGGCCTTTTGTAGTTTACTATGTGGTATCGGTTTTGCTCATTGTTGAAGGCTGTACAGTGACCTACAGTTGCCTACTTCTACATTATTTGGTCTCTGGTGGAGAGTTGTCTCATTGGTAATGATACCCCATCTTAATTTTTTAATGACTGAGAATACTATGATTTATACTTAAACCTCACTTATCTAGAATTGTCTGGAAGTACTGAAAATGAAAATAAGGACTAAAAATATTTTCTTTTACACACATTTATATGCAAGTATATTTTGGTTCTATTAGCTTATTTTATGAAATCTTTTTAAGTATAGTTAACATGCCTTTACAAAGTATTCCTTTAATATATATAACTTACGGTAGAATATCAGTTTCTGGTGGTTCTTCATCATCTGGCAACTCTGGCTTGGAAACATCTGGTTGAGCACTCCCAATACTGCCATCTATTACATAAACATTTCGTAAATTTCTGTTTATTTGCTTCTGTATATATATTTACTAAACATTCTTGTAACATTTTCATTAAAACCTTAAACCCCAGAATGGTACTAGTTAGGTAATGGTTTGAGGGATTACCTTATCAAATCATCATTGGAAAATGTGAAAACCTGACAGAAAATCAGGCTGCAATATAATCAATTGAGGGTGGTAATACAGTTTTTAGTGTAATTCTATACTTCTTTGCCCAAGTAGAAAGTTAACTATATAAAGTGACTGTCTGTTTTTCATAGCAGAGATAATTGTTCAATTTGATAGCCAGGTGTTGTTTGGTTAATGTCGAATGTATAACCTGAACCCCATTTCCTGTTTAAACATTTTCTTCTACTTGTAATAATTTGCACATCCATAAATACATGTACTGTTATTAAATTTGAAAACATTTTCTAAGTAATGCAAGTTATTTTCAGCTCCTGGTATAAAAAATACTCATATGACTGCTAGTTGTTGAATGTTCAGTAGCAAATATTTCAAGCATATTCAGGACAATCATTTGAAGGTCACCTTCATAGTGTATAAATGTGGATTATCTAAAGTAGAGGTATCTAGTTACATATATAAATATATATTCCTTAGTATTGAATGTAAAATTTTACTTACTTCTGGACATTGATAAAATGCTAGTCCTAGGTGTGATAGGAGCTGTCATGGGTGTCATTGGAGGTTTCTGTATCGTCCAAAACAGTCCAGAACCACTACGTATAGGACTCAACATTGGTGGTGGAGTGTATGGAGGAGGCGTATTACCCTTGTGTTCACTAGCTGTTAATACTCGTGGAGATCTTAATCTACTTTGGAATCCACCATGTAGTGACCCATGTCTCGGAATGAATAATGGTGCTGGTCGATGCTTACGTTTCATTCGTAAATGAAGAGGAGTTGTGAGTGAATTAGGATTTCTGAACAGTCCAGCACCATCTGATTTTGATAAAGCCTGATCCCATGAATCTTCAGATTTTTGTTTATATTTCCATAAACATTCCTCAGTTTGACTTCTGGGTCTCATGAATGTATGATCCTCACTTTTAGATCTAAAGTATTTAAAATCATCACCAGATTTACTTCTCATCCGCGGTTTGACAGATAATATATTCTGAGCACTATTTGAAGGAAATTTAGCACTATAGCCCTTATTATTATTATTGATCATTCCTGGTAAAACACTAGAATTAAGATCACATTCACTACCTACAGACAGCCTTCGCTTCAATTCTGTATGTTGATTAGCGATAGGTTTGTGTCTGTGGTGTTTAGGATTTTTTATAGTGTCAGGATGTGCGAAGTCATTTTGAGCCCCATTCCCAACAGGGAATGCAAAAGGGTTTTGATCAGCTGCCTTCTCAGGTTTTATGGCCTCAGGTTTATGCAATGGGGGATCAGTTCCCATTTTATGTAAAGCAGAATCTAAAAATGGCACATTTTTAGGTCCAAAGAACATTTCTGCTCCATGTACCTTTTCATTAAATATCTGAGAATAGTTCACAGTTGATTTTCTTGCATCAGTCAAATGTCCATGATTAGTTTTAGGTAGGGTAGTCCATAAATTATCTTGATTTGGCTGTGAATGTTGAGGTAAAGTTTTAGCACTTGACAATGACGTCTTTTGATCATTATCGATTGTTTCCAAGATAAGAGACAAGTCCGGACTTTCAGCAGAAGTTGTTACAATTTTTGACTGTGGTAGTTGGTTGAATTGTCCCATACTTCCTATTTCAGTTGGAGTTTTCAATGCAAACAGAGGTATCTGAGCTATAGCTGTCTGTAGATTTGATTGAATTGATGTTGGAGTTAGGGAAGGTGGTGGAGATAAGTCCATATGTTGCATGCCATGAGAATCTGATAAATTATTTGGAGGCTGCTGACTATTAAGAGTGTCATTCCTTTGTTGCAGTAATTGTTGAAGTTGTTGATGAGTTATTTGTTGAGGACTTGTTAATTCAATACTGTGTTGTGGCTGATTTTGCATTTCTTCAAAAGACACCTGTCTTTGTAAATGCAATGGCCTGGGTACCTGAAAATGAAAAGACAAATATTAAAACATTATTACTTCAGTGTAAATACCTTAAGTGAATGATTTATACCTTATGTAGACTACATGTATAGAGCCATTCTAAATAACTCCAGTACTTTTCATAATTTTGTCACAAGTATTAAGCGATTTTAGATCAACAACAATGTATGTGTTGTCATGCTAAGCATGTCCCCACATGTATTTCAAAGTATCTGAAAACAGGAAGAAGGTGTCCAACAGATCCAAAAGCTTCACACATAATACAATAACAATAACAATTAAAAACCAATTGTTCAGAGAACAATTGAAGGTCTTTCCCCCTGAAACAATATATTTTGATGTGAAAAATATTAAAACTCGGTTAGAAATGTAATTTTCAGCGCCAAATGATAGCTTATTATACGCTGAATTTAAAAATATATGGTTTCTATACATTTTTGTTTGAAATAAGGGAGATAATTTGTTACTTCCTGTTTGAAAAAGGTCACTTCCGGTATCATTTGATAGTTTACTTGACACTGATTCCAAAAATATATGGTTCTATGTACTTTTACATTAAATATGGACAAGAAATAGCTACTTCCGGTTTACAAAAGGTCATTTCCGGTAGATTTTTTCAAGGTCATATGACTTGCAACTTAATGCACAAAGTACCATAGCTTTATCAGGCATACATTAAAAGTTAATGCAAGGGTCAAAATCTAGAACGTCAAATCTAACTTTGACCTTGACCCCAATTTCAAGGTCATGAAACAAGGGCCTCAAATCAAAACACTCTAGGTCTCTACTATATATTGTTAATGAGTTATATTACCATACAGCTAATATTAGATATAAAAGAGGCGAAAACTCCCATTAAATGTACACGTACCCTTTCAACTAAAATTTACGTGTTACAACATGTCGCAACTAACAATTCTGTAAAAATATTTTGTCGATATCTTATACAATCTCTGAAAATAAGTGATAACAAGCCGAAATCAAAATTTGGAATATGACCTTGACCTTTGACCTTGACCTTATTTTCTTTTTTTTTGGACAGAGGACCTCAAATCAAAAGACCTCAGGTCTATATAAATTATTGTTTTTCAGTTACAAATGCACATCACTTATATCAAATGCATAAGGGGAAATAACTCTCATATGGAGTCTCCGGATAGCTTTGGTCAAAATTAATCAAATCATCCTGAGCATATAATGAGCAATTTCGTAAAATAAATTAGTCGGTTTCTTATGCGGTTGCGACGTATAAGTAATAACAAGAAAAACAGTGTTTGGAGAGGTAACTCTTACATCGAAAAGTTTTTGGTTACGCGGTGTCAGTTTCAAAAGCGTATTAACTGTTCGATATCATATACCATGTCTAAGCGACATCTTGCGAAACCAAAAAACAGTGAAGGAAAAAAAATTAGGCGGAAGAAAAAAAAAAAAATAATAATAATAATAATAATCAGAACAAAACCAATAGGTCTTTCCACGGAAAAGTGGAAAGACCTTATAATCAGAAGAAAACCAATAGGTCTTTCCACGGAAAAGTGGAAAGACCTAATAAAACAAACAGTGATGCAAAAATCTAATAAAAGTACAGGAAACATACCTTCGAAGTGTAAGGACAGGAAACTCACCTGAGAAGTAGGGACGGAAGCAGTATCAAGTTTGGTTTCTTCTTTCACCTGAGGATGATGATGTATGAGAGTTGGTAATTGTCCAGGGTTATATGGCTGTTGTATCGTCTTTAACATCTGTTGCTGCTGTCTCTCTTGCTGTTGTTTCTGTTTCATCTTTTCCAAAAGTATACTATTTACATGCTGTGGCTGAGATGTAGGTGGAAGACTGGCTTTCTGTTGCTCAATCTGCTGCTGGTCAAATATCAAATAATAAAGATCAAGCATCAGATTTCAGCACAACAATAAAAATGTATTATATACAACAGAAATTGTACAAAGTTTTGTGTTTTGTGTTTTTTTAAGACAAAAGTATTTGCAGTATTAAAAAAAAAAAGTGTTTATTTAACCTGAAAAAAATGTAGATGTAAACAGGTCTGTAATAAATTTGTGTATACATCCATTTATTAGTCAGAAAGAAATTTTAATTCTCTTTCTTGTGTGTACAAAACTGATTTCTGTTATAAACTAGCAAGAAGTAAGCAGCCCACTACTGAAAGTATTTGAAGAGTCAAAGTACCTGTAAAGAGACAGCTGCCTCTGCAGAAGGATTGCCACCTTGTAAGAACAGTCTTTGTATCAAATGTTTTTCCATATCTTCTTTACTGATTGGCTGTTTTCTATTTTGTTGAGTATTTGTCTGATTTTCTGCTTCCTGTTTTAAAATAGCTTGTATATCATATAACTGCCTATCAGCTTCCTGTTTGGCTGCAAGGTTATGTTGAAAGGCTTGTAATAATTGTGTCCCTGTAGGGTGTTGTAGATTATGGAGAATTGATATGTCTGTATCCTGTGGCTTTGCCATTTTTTTATCCTGTAAGTGGTGTTCCTGTTTCATATTGTGGCTTTCCTGGGTTAATCCCAGAAGAATATTCTGTGCCTCCTGTTGCTTGAGTTGTTGTGTGTTCTGTAGTTGTAGCTGTTGTATCTGTTGTTGAAGTGCTGACTGGAGTTGTAATTCCTGTTGCATGGTCTGTTCCTTTTAAAAACAAATTGTCTATTAACATAATACTGTAAACCAACCATTTTTTGGCAAATACTTTTTTGTTTTGTTTAGCCCTAGCTGACTTGGTAAATACTATTTGCTCTACTGTGGATTCATTTATTTTCGTGGGTACCAATTTTCGTGGATTAGGGAAAATTGGCATGTTCATGGATATTTAATTTCGTGGTTTTACCGAAAGTCTGCGTACAAGCCTATACAAAATATGTCATTCGTTGAACATTTAATTTCGTGGTTCACTTGTACCCACGAAATTCACGAAAATTGGTATCCAACGAATAATAATGAATCCACAGTATTTTCCAATTTTGTTGATGTATTAGTATAAGAGAAGTTCCACGTATGACATATTTAAGGACTTATAACAGATGAAAAATCTAGTTTCTGATACTAGCATTCCTTTCTGTGTCAGAACATTTTTTTTAAAGATCTTAACATAAAAAGTGACGATGTAATAGGTTGTCGTCTTTTTATATCAAAAATAGTCTGAATTGATGTTTATGCATTTACATGGATTATTGATGCTTTTCTGACATGTTTAAATTGTCATTTTAATCTTCACATTGCCTTAGGACATTCTTTTTATTATTGCCTTATTCTTTGTTTTTTTTGTTGTTGTAGCTACTGCTCAACAAAATTTTGTATCTAAAAATTCGTAAGGGTTCCGCGGAACCCAGTGTCTCGCCTACTTTTGCCATTAGTCGTAGGCTCAACAAAAATAGGGAAAAAATTATTAAAAATTTTCCTCTAGATACTATCTTTTGATTGTAAGAAGCTTCTGTCCAAGTTTGGTAAAAATCCAGGATGGTTTATGAATCTTATAAATGTTTTAAAAACTTTAACTGCAGACTGTATGTAATGTTAACGTGAAGAACAAGTGAAACTGCTAGCTACTGCTCACTGATGATACCCCCAGCCCAAATATGCATTTGTTGTTGAGTGATGAATCTGAAAACGCATCACACAGTATAGCTGACTTATATTAACCCTGAAACCAAGTTTCAGAAATCCTTATGATGTAGTTCCTGAGAAAGATGCGACGAAAAATGGGACGGACGGACGGATGGATGGATGGATTGACGGACGGAAGGATGGACAGACAGAGGTAAAACAGTATACCCCCACTTTTTTAAAGCGGGGGTATAAAAACTAAGTCCATTTATAAGAAATATACGGAAAATCAGGAAATAAATTTTTACAAAATTTCCTTCTAGATACTATCTTATGATCATAAACAAGCTTCTGTCCAAGTTTGGTAGAAATCCAGGATATTTTAAGAAAGTTATTAAAATTTTAAAAACTTTAACCACAGAGTGAATGTAATGTTAACTGGCAGAAAAACTAAGTCCATTTATAAGTAAAATATGGATAAACAGGATTTTTTTTTACAAAATTTACTTCTGGATACTATCTTATGATCATAAACAAGCTTTGGTCCAAGTTTGGTAGAAATCCAGGATATTTTAAGAAAGTTATTAAAATTTCAAAAACTTTAACCACAGTGAATATTTGTGGACGCCAACGACGGAATGTAGGATCGCTATGTCTCGCTTTTGCGAAAAAAGTTGCAGGCTCGACAAACATGTTGTACTTGTCAACTGCCTGAAATAATAAGATTTATTTGTTTAGTAGTGGATTACCATTTGCTGTCTGACCTGTTTCTGTGTAAGCTGTTGATTCTGTTGTTGTAGTTGATCTTTCAATTGTTGTATCTTCACCTCTACATTTGTCTGTTCCATCTGAAGTACCTGTAACTGTTGTTGAAGTTGCTGCTGCAGTTGTTCCCCTTGAATCTGTTGCTGATGTATCTGAATTTGTTGCTAAATATATATAGATATATACATTAAATAAATAACAAATTCAAAAATACAATAAACTGTTGACACAGAGATAAGTCAAACTTTTGTGTAATTTTGATAGTATAATGCAAATGTTGAAATCAAAATGATAATACTTCAACATGTAAACTATATAAAGCATCCAAAGTCAATGAACCATGAATGAAGGTGCAGGGCCAAATAACCTCTTAATACAACTGCATACCAAATACCATTTACATTCCATCAGTAGTTCCATTAAAACTGACCTAAAGGTGTAACACCACTAATTCGGTCCCGGCCAGAAAGCACATACCAGAAAGTAGTACATATTTAACACAAAATAGTTCCTACGCATGGGTGTAACTTTCAAAATATGTAAAATATTTTGGTAATTTTGTTATCAAATGAAAGCTGAATGACTGGTGATCATTGTAGAACACTTTTTGACTTATAATTTTGAAGAATAAAAAAAATGCTTGAAATTTAATAAGGAGGGTACATTAGTGGTGTACTTCCTAAACACTCACTTTAACACTTGACTGATGTAAACTATGTGAAAGTTTCAAAGTCTATGAACCATGATGAGGGTGTAGGGAAATATAATCCAGGGCTTCCAAAACGATCATATTTTCCGGACAAGTCCGATAAATTATATAAATGACTTGTTGTGTCGAAGATGAAACGGACATTTTAATAACAACGTTCATTGCGAGTTTTTCCTGTAGAAATAAAGTGGAAAGAGCTACTTTAATAACTCAATTGTGCTTTGTAAACCTACACGGATTTTACTTGACTGATGTAAACTATGTGAAAGTTTCAAAGTCTATGAACCATGATGAGGGTGTAGGGAAATATAATCCAGGGCTTCCAAAACGGTCATATTTTCCGGACAAGTCCGATAAATTATATAAATGACTTGTTGTGTCGAAGATGAAATGGACATTTTAATAACATAGTTCAGGCAAAAAAATTGAAGTTCATGCGATCTTTTCAGTTTTGACCTGAACATTTGCCTTAAACAGCCACACATTTCCGGTCATAAAAGTGACATGATGAATAATTACTATCAAAACAAACCCTACTTTAATACCTTCTCATTACAATCAAGGCTAATTAGTTCTCTGACAGCTTATTTTACCTGTTCAGGCGACAGGTAAACTATTTAGTACCGGACATTGACCGGTCTATTGAAAGTTATTTTTTGAATTTCAGCCGTTTCCACTAAATAATTTAGTCAACAAGAATCAGATTACCAGAAAACATATATAATTATTATTTGATGAAAATTTAAAAAGGTAGTAGTAAAGGTCTTAAGTGAAAAATCGTCAGAACCATGTTGTTTAAACTAGTACACTCGTGTGTATGTGTGCATGTGCGAGATTTAATTATGCATCCGATTTTTCAAAAATGCAAAAAAAATCATTGATACCTTTATCTAACGTTCATTGCAAGTTTTTCCTGTAGAAATAAAGTGGAAAGAGCTACTTTAATAACTCAATTGTGCTTTGTAAACCTACACAGATTTTACGTATCCGTCTCTGGACCGTGTTTTACCATTGTCAAGTCAACATCCAGTACTTTTCAAAAACGAAAGTGAAGTTATTGACAGCGTCATTTTGCACAAATAAAGAGTCTTAAGCAGATATTAGTAAGCTGATGTTGCACACTTCAAATGGTGCACTGTCAATTTAACAGTTTACGTCAGAACATCAGAATAAGGAAATTTATATTAAAAAATCAAGTCAAATACCGTTTTTGTGTCAATCATAATTTATATGATGCTGAAATGATTACTATGGTTTCCTTTTGTTTCTGAGTCTTAAGGGATAGAAATCGGGGTGAGACAAAAAAAAATGTCCGGCTGGCTCAAATATTTTTTGGAAGCCCTGATATAATCTCCATGGAAATGAGACCTGCAACGGCCAATACAACTGCATACCAAATATCATTGACTTAACATTAGCGTTTCATCTTAATTTGACCTCACCACAAACTTTACATGTAAACTGTGGAAAAGATTCAAAGTCAATAGATCATGACCGAGAAGGCAATATCATTGAACTTCCACTAGTGTTTCCGCTTAAACTGACCTAATCACAAACTTATTCATTGTTAATGCCACAGCCTCCAGAAACAGCACATCCAAATCTAACCTTTTTCACTCTGTTGAGGCAAACAAAAAAATAGTGTCTATTGTTTGCCTCAAATTCATTGAAATACTGAAATGTGCATTTTACAGTATTACAGATATGTAATGTGGTTGTCTTTGTCATTAATAATCAACTGAAGTAAAAGGTTCCATTACAGCTAGCTCTTGACCAGATCTCCACACATTTTATGTTATACTAAATGAAAATATTAGTTTGTGGGTATCTTGTCTGGTATGCAATTTTACAGGATGCATAAAGGATGATTTACTCAAAAATTCTGTGATTTTAGAGAGGATATTAAAATATCAATAAAGAATTATGATGGGTGTAAAGTAACAACAATGTCTAGAACTATTTGAGCAAAGCCAGATATAACAATTCAGGTCAATTCAGATTGTATAATCTAATTTGACCCTTAATATACAAATAAGGAAAGTAATAAAGATCTACAGCTCTAAGAGAAAAGCATCATTATTCAGGAATCAATAAATTTCCATATAGATACAAGTAAAAGTTGAAAATGATAAGTGAATGAAAACAGATGAATAAGTAATGTGTAAGTATATCAGTGTTAGATGATGTCAATGAATGTAAATAGGATGACTACCCAGAATGGTTCTCCAACCTGTAACTGATCCAATCCAAACTGTTGTAGGACCATAGCTGACCCATCAATCCCTACTGGTGAATCTCCTGATACAGGGGACTGTAACTGGCTTCCATATGCAGAACCTTTAAAATTCACCATTAATGTTATTGTTAAATAATATGAACAATTCAGGTCAATTCAGATTGTATAGTCTAATTTGACCATAAATATACATATAAAGAAAGTAATACAGATCTACAGCATAAAATTTAACATTAATGTTGCCGTTAAATAATATGAATACTTTTAAATATTGCCTAGCCTCACTATTTTCATTGGACAGAAATGTTGACCAGTGGTCTGTAGGTGTGATAATATTAACCAAATCTAATGTAACACAAACATTGGATTTGTCTATTGCTGAAGTTAATCATATCTTTTGTATAAACATTTCCGATTATGGTTGTAAAACCATAGCTGATTAATATTCCTCCCAATGTCCTTGTATTGAAGTTCAAAACATGTAGCAAATCAAATGTTCTTCTGATTTAACTCTGCTGCTTTAATCGAAATCATTTTTTTTGTGGAGTTGATGATTCCTTTATTTCACAAAAATTTCAATGATTGCCTCAGAATAATTGTGCATCAGGTTCATTCTATAATATTCATATGATAATAACCTTGTCCTGACTGTGGTGATCCTACTTTGTCTAATGGTGAAGGATGAGGCATACTGGCTATCAATTTATTTCCCTTTGGTGCCACTGATTTGGGAGGTGCCATCTCCTTGGAATTCTTTTTGGTCTTTTTATCTTCCTTTGGTTCCTATGAAATAAAATCAGGTAATGGTTTTGATTGGCTTGACATTGGATACTGCCATTCATAAAAAAACAAAGTATTTTTTGAATATCTAATTTGCTTTTTCATGCTTTCATCTTAAACAATATTTTTTAGTAGTCTTTAATTTTTAAATAGGTTTTATAATTCCTACTTTCAATTATTAACCAATAAAACTTCCTCCAAGATAACACAATTGCATTTCCATAACTAAAGGTTTTAAATATGTATTTAAAATGGCAAGAAAGTCTGAAATTACACAAAGGTCCATTTGTTTGATATTTTAATTTTTCATCACTGTTCTGCATAACCATTTTCAAGGGTACATACGATAATTTCAGTTATATATATCCCAATAGAATATCTGTTCATTTTCATCAACTGTACTGCACTATCACATAAAAATTAACATGTTATAAAATAATTGATTAGTGAATTTCATAAGCATCAATTTCATAAAAACATTAGATTTTACAAGTTGGGGGGAAAAGGAGGTCTAATCATGTGAAAATGTTTGTATCAAATATAACTCAGAAATGTACTTGAGATAAATCTATATTTCTGCATTTTAAAAATTCGAATGATTCTTCACAAACGAGTTTCAACATCATGCATTCATACTTTCTTGAAATATCCTCCATGACATCGCATGTGACCATTTAAAGCTTGTACATTTTTAAATGTTCTTTCACATATTGTGCATTCTGCTGGTTTAACTTCCTCCCTGTAAAGAAAAGTTATAGATTGAATAAAACATTTATAACAAAAGAAATCCTGCCATCATTTATTTCTGTGTAGTAATATAATTGTGTATTTTACATTTTATAGAATGATTAAAATAAGTCCTAAACATCAAATTCTCTAAAAACGAAAATTTTCTTAATTTTCAAATACAATAAACCCAATTTCAACCCCAAAAATGACAAATGTAGCCTAATTTGTGAGACTGGAGTTTTAATTATATACCTGTAATCAAGGAAAATGACTTTGATGTTCAGTTTCTTATTCAGTTTTTTTTTCTAATGGCCAATTTGAAATTGACTAATCTCAGACTTTTTATCTTTTATTTTTTTGGATGAAATTCCCATTGTCACCACTAAAACACAAATTTCTCTGTAAACCCTGGATTAATTTCAGTGACAAATACAAGTTACTTAATATGTACTAATTAGCCTTGATAAAACATTACATAACTACCTGCTGATCAAAAAAATCAATAGAATCTTATCTGAGCAAATAACGTTGTATCTTTTTCTTTCTATGAATGGTGGCTGTATTGATTTTTCCCATATGTTACAATTGATATAGTTTATTAAATAGACCTTTATTTTGACCTCATTTTTTTTTTTAAGTAAATCATAGGTATTGAATAAATATGAAAGTGTTTGTTAAGGTGCTTGGTAGACGGGTTATACAAGATATATAGTTGTGAGTTATTTCCCACTAATTACACAATGCTCAATGTTGTTGATTAAATGTGAAGAAAGTTTCAAATATATGCATGACATTGTATCGAAATAAGCTTTCAACATATAGGAAGAAAAATATTGAAGGAAAATTAAAAAAACATGTCACACAGTATGCCATAACCAGATGAAGCTTTGTGCCATATATCAATGTGGTATGACCTGCACCTGCTTTGAAGAAATGTGACAGAAATGTGTTATGGACAGTCAGCTTCGTGGACAGAGGTAAACCAGTATACCCCCTCCTGAAGTGTTTGGGAATAAATAGCAAAACCCAAACTAACTGCAGTGTATCTAAACAATTACTAAAGACCATACCCATTTTTATCCACATTTGCAGGAGAAACAGTTGTATTCCATGACCTTTGTTGAGGGTGTGGCTGCATCACCGGACTTGAAGGTGTCAACTGTGTATTAGGGACAGGACTAATTGGGCTAACTTGCTGCAGATAACCTGGTGAGGGTTCTCCACTTCTTGGAGAGCTTGAATGGGCACTTTGAACACTGTTTACTTTAACATTCTGAAATAAAATAGACATGAAAGAATTATCTTTTACTACGTTTATCAATTTTATAAAAAATTATCCAAGATACAATATGAAATATGAATGTAAATTTTAAACTATATTTATACATAATTTCTTCTCTATAATTAGAATTTGATGCCGTATCTATTTTTAATTATGAATCAACTTACATGTCTTACAATTTCTATTAATTATGCAATACAGCTCTTGAATTTGGATTGTGATTAAACATTTGACATAGCATAGGTTTCGTACACAATGAGTGTGGTCCAACTTAAAAATTTGAAATTGGACATTTACCTATTATGGTCTTATATCCAAAATCTAAATACATGGTTAGATTCAGCATATCAAAGAACCCAAAAAATTCAATTTTTTATGAAATCGAACAAAGTTTATTTTTGGACCTTTTGGACCTCAATGTGGACCAATATGATAATGGGCCCCAAAAGCCAAAATCTAAATACACGATGACAACAATGTCATACCATTATACGACGGCAGAAATTTTGCAGTCCTATATAACACTTCTGGCAATCAAATACACTGAGATTTTTATGTGTAAAATGAATAACAGATACAATTCTCTGTATGTTTTACTTATCATTTCCATGTTAAACACCTAGTAGCAGTGTTCTCCCCAGGCCCTTAAAGGACCGCGGGCCCGCGATGTATAATTTTTTACCGTGGTGGTATCGTTCTTACCGCGATGTATAATTTTTCTCCGTGGTGCTAAAATTTTCAGTTAAAAAATCGTAAATCGGTAAAGTTTTAAACGACTTGTTAAATCTTTTCCGTGCGGTGTAAAATTCAAGGTGAAATTTGACCAGTTCAAACCAGTTCAACACGGATTGTTTACACCACGTGATCGATTTACCTTTATGAGGTTAACCTTTGTTGATTGGATTTAATCGATGTAATTAACACTTTTTACATGATTCTTTTGTGTTTTAATTTAGATATCATAACTTTATGATCAAAGATAACTATTTTAAGGCTTCACTCACCACCTGACAAGTCGGCAAATACTTTGTACACAAACCGTGTTGACCCGATAGTTGTACACACGACGGTACATATTTTGTACATTATAAAGTTAAAAGTTAGCTCAATACTTATATTATAGTTTTATATGTCTCTGATTAAACCATGGCCAAAATTATCTTTAATTATGACATAGTTATTGCATGATATTCCGGTTTCAAACTGTCAACAAGTAATTCAAAGGGGAAGGATCACATGACCCAGTTAGTTCACGTAAATATTCAAGATTATTTACAATTAACTGCAATCTATTCAATTTTATAAATAAAATGCATGACTGTACCTTCAAACTGGATATCTATATCCATATGATCATTAATGAATAACAGAAGTGATCTTGCAATTTTAATCCATAAGCACATGTTAAATCTATTTATATCTACTTCCTGTCATTTAGGCGGGAAAATAGGGAGAATTTGTTTTTGACATTCAAATATGGTTATACAGTCGATTCCGGTTATTTGCATAGCCTATTTGTCAGACAAAATTATGCAATTAAGCGGAGTATGCTTATATCCGAAATGCCAAATTACGGAGTCAAATAACATCGATAGTACAGATCAGTAAAGGAAATCCCTGAAGAAAGATGAACGTCCATAATCCACTTACAACATATTGAATGCTTATTTATTCTAATAAAAGTTATGTGTCTAGTGTTATACATGTTATTTTATTTTGTATTCTTTCAATAAAGTTTATAAACACATTTTGATTTAGTTTATTTGCGTGCCGACTTTTCCTTTACCTGAGATACGAAAATAAAACTAATTGTTCTAAAAATAGATTTGTTTCTATGACCCGGATGTACAATGTACATTGTTACGCTTTGATTAAATTAACTGTTTAACAATACTACACAGTTTATGATCATTTTAAACAATAAATGTGTACTAAACTGCCTTTGATATGCAGTATTTACCGCTTGCACAGTGATGTAACACTGTTTCTTTAACCTCGTTAGTTTCGTATATGCAAAGCAGTTTAAAACAGGTAATGGGGCCCTGTACGGGTTATTTGCAGGACACGAGTGTTGAAAGAGAGAAAATATAATAATTAGAAGTTGATTTTCTTTTCAAAGAATATTTAAAATTATAGATTGATGTATAAAATTCTTCAACTATATATAAATGCCCTGTAATATTTAACATAAGTGTAGATCACCCCAAGCCGAATTACGAGAGTACACATTGGATAATGATCGATAATTAACAGGGGTTATTGTTTTTAAAATTCACCCCACATGTAATCTATGAACAATGTTTGAAATCCAATCAATAATTAACGCCTTTTGAGATAGATTGGACGTGTTTTTACAACAATCACCTGTTTGACATTTTTTTTACCTCGAGGCTTAAAATAGAACATGGGAAACTTTACCTGTGTACACATCGAGGCTTATTTTATAATCATATAAACACGAAAGAAACTGTTTTAAAACTTTATTTAGATAACACAAAAGTAAATATGAAATAATAACGAAAATTATGATGCATTCAAGAAAAATATACTTACCAAATTGCCGTTTCCGGTAAAAAATCTCGTCCGTTTTAACTAAGCATATCTAGCTGGCGAATATTTTCTATGCAATTAACCGAAAGGCCACTTGTAAGGCTATGCATATAACCGGACAATTTAACATTAGATGAATGGGGAATGGTTTTGTGCAGGAGAAAAGTATGCAATTAACCGAATTATGCTATTAAGCGGTATGCAATTAAGTGGAATCGACTGTATATAGATCTATAGACCTAAGATAAATTTATAGATTTAGGAATTCTTTTTAAATGGATCACATGACAAATAAAGATTTAGATTTTAGTGCAGTATTAAGTCTGTATCTATGTTTGATAATCACCAAAGACAAGAAAGGTTAATATTTACATGTACATGAAATCTATGGCAAAATGTTTTAAAATTTATGAAAAATTTCTTTTTATTAAAATTTAAGATAGAAACTGGTTCAAATTATAACACAATTTTGTTCTTGTTAATTTTATATCTCCTTATGACAGGAATCCTTTCACATTCAACAACTTTCTTTCTAGAAACTAGAAAGTTTTTTAAATTGAACATTTTTGTTCACTTTTGAATCTGGGAACAGTATATCTAACAATATATATATTCCTGTTTAAATGATATTTTATTTTTTATTGATCATGGATTTTATAAAAGATTTAATTACTTTAAATTTAGATGAATATTATGTAATGAATCATGTTTTGTTTATTTTTAAAAAATATTAAAAGTATACAAACTGCTTATTGATCTTTTTAACCAATAATATTCAGACATAACACATTCCACAGTACTGTATTAAAACAAAACAAGAGACATAAAAACTGCAGTAACTAGAAATATAGTGACGCCATGCGACACAACTGATTGTATGAATCATTTCACCAAGCTGTTCACACGCGTTACCCTGGTGCTATCCAAAAATCCTGGGGAGAACACTGAGTAGCATAGCTATGGTTTATTGATGTATTCTTGTCACAATCTGCATTAAGGAACAAGGCAGTTTTAGTATGATTCACGCATGTTTACCTGGTCTTGCCACTGTCTTCCTGGCTGTATATGTTTCATTAACACATTACTTGACTCTATGGCTATGGTTTGTGGTAAATTGTCAGCTGATATAGTAACTGTCTGATTGCCCTGAGCACTGTGAAGTGTGATGGTCTCATCAGTGTTGGTCTGTGAAGCAGCAGCAGCCTGGTCTAGTAACATTTGTACTTTTTGTCCTACTGATTCTTCTTCTGATAAGGACCGCAATTTAGCAGTAGCTGTCTGTTTTGAATTAATCTTTAAAAGAACAAGTAAGTGAATAAATCAAATGATACAAATATTCACAGTATGAGAAAATAGTGCTATTGTATATATCCCCCCCCACCACCCCTCAAAAAAAAACCCTGTGCCTTAATGAGCTCACAAAATCTCCTACTAAATCAAATGTAACAGAACCCTTCTAATTTTTCATCAATCCTTATACTGATGAGTATGTCAGATGAATATGTGATAGTAAACAACTTATTGTCTGAAATCCTATTTTATGAAGATTGAAAAATTAGGGGTTCAGCAGAGACAATAAAATGCTCCGCTGGGCGCAGCTTGATACAACCTCAGAGGTCGAACCCTGAACAGTTGGGGCAAGTATGGACACAACATTCAAGCTTGATACAGCACTGAATTTGGATTGTGATTAAATATTTGACACAGCATAGGTTTCTGACACAGAATGAATGTGGTCTAAGAACTCAAAAATTTTTAATTTACCTATTCAAACCATATCATTATTACTTGCTTTTATATATAAATCAGAAAAAACCAATTTTAAATGGAAAATTTTAAAGAAAAAAAATGAAAAAAAAATCCCCCCTCAAATTTTTTGAACCCCCTTATGATTCATCACCCCCAAACTCAATCCCAGCCTTCCCTTTGTGGTATGGTACCTTGCAGTACAATTTCAGAGAGATCCGTACACTTGAACACAAGTTATTGTCTGGAAACTAGAAAAATGCTTGTTTTTTGGCCCCAAATTCCTAAACGTTTAGGGCAATTACCCCCAAACTCAAACCCAGCTTTCCCTTTGTGATATGGAACCTTGTAGTACAATTTCATAAAGATCCATACACTTACACACAAGTTATTGTCCTGAAACTAGAAAAATGCTTGTTTTTTTGCCCCTTTTTGGCCCCTAATTCCTAAAATTTTGAGGCAATTACCCCCAAAATCAATCCCAGCCTTCCCTTTGTGGTATGTTACCTTGCAGTACAATTTCAGAGAGATCCATACACTTGAACACAAGTTATTGTCTGGAAACTAGAAAAATGCTTATTTTGGCCCCTTATTCCTAAACGTTTTGGGCAATTACCCCCAAACTCAATTCCAGCATTCCCTTTGTGATATGGAACCTTGTAGTACAATTTCAGAAAGATCCATACACTTACACACAAGTTATTGTCATGAAACTAGAAAAATGCTTGTTTTTTGCCTCTTTTTTGGCCCCTAATTCCTAAAATTTTGAGGCAATTACCCCCAAAATCAATCCCAGCATTCCCTTTGTGATATGAAACCTTGTGGTACAATGTCAGAGAGATCCATACACTAACACATAAGTTATGTCTGGAAGTTACAAAAATGCTTATTTTTGGCCCCTTTTTGGCCCCTAATTCCTTAACTGTTGGTACCATAACCCCCAAAATCAATCCCAACCTTCCTTTTGTGGTATTGAACCTTATGGTAAAATTTCATAGAGATCCATTCACTTAAACTAAAGTTAGAATGCGAAAACCAATGTGTCTTTGGACGACAATGACAACAACGACGACGACGCCAATGTCAACGTCATACCAATATACGACCGCAAAATTTTTTTGTGGTCGTATAAAAATTGTCAAAATCAACACGAGCTTACTAAGTCAATGCAACCATCGATATTATGACCATTGTGCTTAATAATGAGATTCAAGTTACTAACTTATTACATAGGTATAAAACCACCAATTCATAGCCCTATTTCTTTCTATCTTAAAGTCTTATGATCCTTCAAAATTAACAAAACAAATGAATATGTTATAAATATAGTTTAACTATAAAAACAGAGATTTTCTTTTGAAAGAAAATCCTTTATTTTATCCAAATCTCCAGAAATGTACTGCTATTGAATTATTGTCTTCCAGTTCCCCAATACATCAAATTATTTAACAACTGTTATCAGGTTATGAAAATGCTTAATCAACAAATTGGAAAACATGGAAAATAAATGTGGATAGTGTCCACATGTGGACACAGATGATGCCCCCGCTTGCATATGATATAGTTATAAAGGGACATAACTGAAGAACGGTAAAAGTGATGCTACCCAAATTTGAACTTGATCTGAGTTTTGTGGTAAATTATATTAACATTGTGTGTAAGTCTCATAACATTTGGTTGAGGCTAACTAAAGTAGAGAATAGAAACTAAAAATTCAGCAATTTTTCTATTTGTAAACACGCATAACTCTAGAACGGTTGTGTATAAGTTTTATAACATTTGGTTGAGACAAACTAAAGTTAGAGAATGGAACATAAAATTCAGCAATTTTTATGTTTATAAAGGGACATAACTCAAGAATGGTAAAAGTGTTGCCATCAAATTATGTACTTAATCTGTATTATGTAGTAATAAGCATTGTGTATGAGTTTCATAACATTTGGTTGAGGCAAACTAAAGTTAGAAAATGGAAACAAAAAATTTGTACTTGATCTTAGTTTTGTGGTAATGAATATTGTGTATAGGTTTCATAATGTTTGGTTGGGGCAAACTTAAGTTACAGAATGGAAACTAAAAATTTTGCAATCTTTCGATTTATAAAGGGGCATAACTCAATAATGATTAAAGTGACACTACCCAAATTAAACTTGATCTGTGTTTTATCAGTGGAAGTCAAAATTAAACATTGCATTGTATAAAGCATTGATTGTAGTTGATTCAACTATAATCATGGACAAAAGAAGATAGCTCCAATTTTAATAAAATTACTTGATATTTAGAAGAAATACAATTTTGCAATTTTTCCTTTTCTAAAAGGGCCTTAACTCTAGAATGGTTAAAGTTACGCCACCAAAATTCAAACTTGATCTGTGTTTTGTGGTAATAAGCATTGTGTATAAGTTTCATAACATTTTGTTGAGGCAAACTTAAGTTAGAGATTGGAAATGAAAAATTCAGCATTTTTTCCATTTGTAAAGGGACATAACTCTAGAACGGTAAAAGTGACGCCACCAAAATTCAAACTTGATCTGTGTTTTGTGGTAATAAGCATTGTGTATAAGTTTCATAACATTTGGTTGAGGCAAACTAAAGTTAGAGAACGGAAACCAATTTTGGGACGTACGTACATACGTACGTACAGACGGACAAGGGTAAAACTTAATGCCCCCTCCGCTACGTCGGGGGCATAATAAACATTGCTCTAGTATCTTATTTATTTTTCACATGCTCCATGATTCTGTGTTCATTGTTTATCAAGGTTATGATCCCTAAATTTTGGCACCAAAACCTGAAATTAATTAGCAGTCAAAGTTATCGATCAACAATACCTTTTTTTATCCATTATACATTGTGGATTGGTAATCAATGAAGAAAACATACACATGGGTTCAAAGCTATATAGACATGCATTGGGCCTATAATTTCCTTACAATTATCATCCCCAGAAACTCGTTTCATGACTTCAAATTCTACAAATTTCAAGCATTCATAGCTATTTTGTTTAAAGTTTAAATAAAGGGAAAGTCATTTCTTGTCACAATACATTATCCTTGTTTGTGCTGAAAAAATCAACATACCTTTAAAGCTGTTATCCTAATACTAGCAATTTAAAAGTTTGGTTGGCTTGCTTGCTTTGTTGGTATAAATGTTTGCTCAAGCATTGTAATTAAGATTGACATCTGCAAATAATAGATAGGCAGGACTTCAGCTTGTTTACAGTATACATAACACCCAATAACATTTAAGTATCAATAATGTATACAAGCTGAAGCCCCGCCTATCTATTGATTGCAGATGTCAATCTTAATTACAATGCTTGAGCAAACATTTATACAAACAAAGCAGGCAAGCCAACCAAACCTTTAAATTGCTAGCATTAGGATAACAGCTTTAATTGCATTTAAAGGAAAACTGTTTCCCTGAAGTTCAAAAGTAGAAAACAGGTACTTTTGATCTGAGAAAAAGGACAAAATTTGTTGTTCTGTTTCAATTTCATACATTTTATTATTTATACAAATTAAGCATTCAGCATGTGACCCCAAGTCATTAATATGAAAATAACACTTATAACCCTGCTGGCATCCAGATTTTATTACAGTGAAGTCTATAAAAATCATTTTCATCAAAAGTATGCTTGCAAAGTACTAGTACTAAGTTGTCCTGACAATGTTTTGCATAAGTCGTTTTCAAGTCTGCATACAAGACTAAAAGGTACATATATAGATAGCTACATCGAAACTCCTAAATTTTCAGTTTAAAGAATTTGCAAAAAGTACTATAATACCTGGTTTTCCATGCTGCCTGCTGGAGATTGATCTATAGGAAATGATGGCTGATCACCATATACAGGACTAGTAACTGGTGTAGAGTTACCACTGCTGAATGATAATGGTTTGATGTCACTGCCCTGAGAGCTCTCATTAGATACTATAGAACTAGCCATAATGGGAACAGTGTTTGCAGTAGTGGAAACATTGACCTGGGCTGCCTTATTCTGAGCAGAGTTCGTAGCCGCAGCAGCAGCAATAACAGCAGCAGCATTGGAAGCTACCAAAGCAATAGCTCCGTGTATTTGCTCTGGAGTTTGGTTGTGGTGATTTTCTAGGTGACGTCGCAGTGACCTTGCATCACAATAACTCTTTGTGCAATTATCTACTGTACATTCATAAGGTTTCTTTTCTCTATGAGTCATCAAATGACCATTCCTAACAAAATAAAAAATAAACATACTAATTATTTGCACATCAGTATTTTTGTCTATTTTCCCACAAGACAATAAAGACATCACTTAAAAGTTGGTAATCTTCTGAAGATGTCTTAGCAATTTACAAGTTACAACAGGTAGACAAATGACCACAAGGGAAAGATGCTTAAGACTAAAGAATCAGACAGACCGAGGTTTAATAAGATACATCTTTAGGCTGTAGGACAACAGAGCTAGGTCTACATAGAAAACATGGAAATTGCAGTCAGACTTATGGTGGTAAGTTTCTGACTTGAAATCTAAATACATTTATTGTCATGTAAATAAATCATGCGGTCATTCATGCTCCATCCTGTTTGTTAATCTCCAGGAATATGTACTTTTATTCACTGACCAACCCACACCCCATGCCAGATAAGATGAAAACCGCAAATTGCCTCCTTTTAACATATGACTCTCACAATGATCATATACATAAAACCAAACAAAATTTCAAAGCGGTATAAAATAATGCAGTCACATGACAACATTTTCAAAGTGGAAGCATGTATCCAAAAATTGAGGGTTTAGGGGAATAAAACTATCATTTGTGCTACATGGGTATAGTTGGTCAATAAAAGGTACAAATGAGTATACATGTAGCGGTTAAGAAAATGAACTGAAGACTCTAAAGAGCCTGTGTTGCTCACCTATGTCTATGTGAATCGTCAACAATGAACACTCTAGATCTCCAACATTGAGGACTAGAATAGAATTCATGACAAAAATCTCTTTTATGTTGATCTCGAATTGCTTATAATTTTTTTTCTGTTAACAGTTAAAATAAAATGCTCCGCTGGGGCACAGCTTGATATGACCGCAGAGGTCGAACCCTGAACAGTTGGGGCAAGTATGGACACAACATTCAAGCTTGATACAGCACTGAATTTGGATTGTAATTAAATATTTGACACAGCATAGGTTTCTCACACAGAATGAAAGTGGTCTAAGAACTTAAAATTTTTTAATTTACCTATTCAAACCATATCATTATTATTTGCTTTTATATATAAATCAGAAATAACCAATTTAAAATGGAAAATTTTAAAGAAAAAAAGGAAACCCCCCCCAATTTTTTGAACCCCCTTATGATTCATCACCCCCAAACTCAATCCCAGCTTTCCCTTTGTGGTATGGTACATGTACCTTGCAGTACAATTTCAGAGAGATCCATACACTTGTACACAAGTTATTGTCTGGAAACCAGAAAAATGCTTGTTTTTTGGCCCCTTTTTGGCCCCAAATTCCTAAACTTTTAGAGCAATTACCCCCAAATTCAAACCCAGCTTTCCCTTTGTGATATGGAACCTTGCAGTACAATTTCATAAAGATCCATACACTTACACACAAGTTATTGTCCTGAAACTAGAAAAATGCTTGTTTTTTTTGCCCTTTTATGGCCCCTCATTACTAAAATTTTGAGGGAATTACCCCCAAAATCAATCCCAGCCTTCCATTTGTGGTATGTTACCTTGCAGTACAATTTCAGAGAGATCCATACATTTGAACACAAGTTCTTGTCTGGAAACTAGAAAAATGTTTATTTTTGGCCCCTTATTCCTAAACTTTTTGGGCAATTACCCCCAAACTTTATTCCAGCTTTCCCTTTGAGATATGGAACCTTGTAGTATAATTTCATAAAGATCCATACACTTACACACAAGTTATTGTCATGAAACTAGAAAAATGCTTGTTTTTTGCCCCTTTTTGGCCCCTAATTCCTAAAATTTAGAGGCAATTACCCCCAAAATCAATCCCAGCATTCCCTTTGTGATATGGAACCTTGTGATACAATGTCGGAGAGATCCATACACTTACACACAAGTTATTGTCATGAAACTAGACAAATGCTTGTTTTTTGCCCCTTTTTGGCCCCCTAATTCCTAAAATTTGGAGGCAATTACCCCCAAAATCAATCCCAGCATTCCCTTTGTGATATGGAACCTTGTGGTACAATGTCAGAGAGATCCATACACTTACACATAAGTTATGTCTGGAAGTTACAAAAATACTTATTTTTGGCCCCTTATTCCTTAAATGTGGGTACCATAACCCCCAAAATCAATCCCCACCTTCCTTTTGTGGTATTGAACCTTATGGTTAAATTTCATTGAGATCCATTCACTTAAACTAAAGTTAGAGTGCGAAATCTAATGTGTCTTCGGACGACGAGGACGACGACACCAACGTCATACCAATATACGGCCATAAAAAATTTTTTGCGGTCGTATAATAATATAGCATGCAAATCAAGAGTTTAAATGCCTTGCTTGCAAACTTTGTTTGGTTGTTTGCTCAGACATTGTTATCAAGATTGACACCCAAATTCAATGGGTAGGCGGAGTAACAGTCTGTTTACTATATAAAAAGATTTGATTGGACAAAGGATATTATATTGTTTCCAGTCAGGAACCTAAAGGGTATACAGAAAAAAGAATAGTTAGCTAAATGTGAACCAATTTTGAAAACTAATTAATAATAATACAATTATAACAGTAAAGCAAGATTTGATGGTATATGATTGTTTTTATTTGATATGATAATGAAAAGTTTTTTGCACACAATTGCTTTATTCTTCATATTGGAAGATGAAATTTGATCATTTATCATCATCAGATACATATAAAAATAAAATTGAGAATGGAAATGGGGAATGTGTCAAAGAGACAGCAACCCGACCATAGAGCAGACAACAGCCAAAGGCTTATATGTCTCTGTCATCATGTTAATATAAATACTTTTAATTTTTTTAAATTATCAATACAATTAACACGTAAAGATATAAGAGATATTACTGCATGAGCATGGATTATTTTGTTTAATTTGTGTGTGGTGTTTCATTTAGTTTTTTTTTTTGCTTCTTTTGTAGAATCATAAAAAATAAATTTGAATTGTTCACTGTTTCTCCTTCATCTTTCTGCTCATTAAAATGCAACACGCCACAACCCCCAAAAAAATATAAACTGCTGTAGGCAAATAATTTTTAAAGTTTTACTGGTTTTGGATTTCTCACTTCTTTTTGGATCGTAATGACGAAATAATATAGATTTTATTTCTTTCTCGTCAAAATATTTAAAGAATTTGATCGCCATAAAAGTTTAAATGGGAATTGTGAACCATTAATTTTCTAGATGGAAACTTGCATATCAAATAATTAATAATGTGACAGGAATATGGTTTCATTTCTTATTGCATTATTGTCAAATCTTAATGCACTAAGCAAATAAGAGAATGAGTTTTAAATAAATGTGTTACTATTTTTATTTTAAATAATAGCTAGTAAATATACAATTATTGTAATGGTCGAAGAGTGCCATTATAATATTGATGGTCAGATTCCCTTTATTACTACTACTGCATTGACCCTTAGAGCATTGCGAGCCACTGATTTCTCAAACAGTTTTCAACAAAGTGATCTGAAGTTATTTTTTTCTTGTAGAATATAAACAGTTGTTTAAAGTGCAAAATTTCAGATAATTAGCAGTAACAAGAAATAACATTTCATGTCAACATTATAGTTTGAATCAAAATATGACATTAAAACTGCTCATGCTTTACGTTTTTAATCCATTTTAAAATTGGTTAACTTTACCTTTCCTGTACCGCTTTTAGCCCATGCTTCTGTTTATATTTCAAGTGCCTAACTGGAAACAATTTTGATATTCATTGACCAATCAAACCTTTGTATATAGTAAACAGACAGTTATACTCCGCCTACCCATTGAATTTAGGTGTCAATCTTAATTACAATATCTGATTTGATTTGCATGCTATATCATTTAAACTGTAAAGCTTCTCCCTATTTTCTTAAGGTCTAACCAGGACTCACGCTAGCAGGTGACTGGGGCGACAAAGCCGCTTTCCCGTCCGTCACTTCTCTTTGTTCGACCGTCAAAAGCGATATCTAGTCGCCCTGGTGTTCACAATAGTCGCTTGCAATCGCTTTAGTCATCAACGATTTCCCATTTTTACCAAGTCAATGAAACAGCATATTTTTCATTTAAAAGTGAAGAAATTCAAAGATATAAACGATTTATTTCTTTAGAAAAGATGTTAAAGTATTGACTTTACAGATTGCTTGAATGTTATAATTTTCAAACTTTTATGAAGTATTATCTTTCACTTTCGGTACTTGTTACTTGAGATCGTATATCAAAACATTCTGATTTTCAGCAAAATAAGTTTGTTACTTCTTTAGAAAGAGATCAAAATTGCCTTTAGTTAATGTTTGATCCATTTATTGCATTAAAAGCGTCATATTCTCTTCCAAATCGCTTGTCAAACATTGTTTGTTTTCATAAATTTTCTTCGTCCGCCATAGAAATATTTATACAAACCGCCGATCCAGTGATCTGGAAGGATTTTTTCTCTATGGGCCCAGGGCCCCCCAAAAATAAATTCAATGGGCCATTTTTAGAATTAATGGGCCATGTTGTCAAATGAGTGGGCCATTCGTTTACAATAAAAACAAAAATTAAAAAAGTGTTTATTTCACTGTACTTACAAGTATGATTCTAATTAATATCATGGATATTGTTCCTGTGATTTTGTAATTTCAATTTCAATGAATATACAATAACTTCTTCCAAACCGGGAAATATTTACGATAACCTTTATTTACAATGTTAAAACTGGTACTGTTCCCTTGTTCATGTTCATGTTTTTTTTACATTAAATTTGGGTCTTCGTCGATACCATACTTATTCCAGACGTTCCGTATTAGAGGAAGTTTCAGGCATTTCCTCCGCACTTGTATTATTATTGCTTCATCACGATGACAAGAATAACAGTAGAGAGCAACGTTAATTGATAAGACACAACGACAATTCGCTGAAGGCATGTTTACAAAATGTCAAAACGAGCCAAAGACCAAAAAAAATGACAAGAGCAGTTAAGCCCCTTTTATGGAGACAAATACTATGCTATTCATAAAAAGGCTTTTGGGTTTTTCAATCGAAATAA